TGCCGGGCTGCGCCCACAGCGCCCTGCACCGCGCCGGCCTCATCCAGGTACGGCACCCAGCCGGTCCCCGGCGGTCAAGGGCTGGTACCCGCCCCCCTCACTCCGCACCAGGCGCCTGGCCCTAAATGCCTGTTTTCTGTGAGAAAAGGCCCCTATTGTGTTTGTAGCAAAGTCCTCGCTGCAGTCCTTAACAACTGGAAAAGCCCTATGTTGCCCAAATCGCCTGGCACTGCGTGGGTCATCGTTTATTTAAGATATTTTTTTGAAAGGAAAAGTGCAGGGGGCAGCATTTAAGTGCGCATCGGGAAAAGAGAAAAGAAGCATGGCAAGTTAATCAAAACTGCTGTGCGCGACATAATGTCGCAGGTTGTTCAAGGATGCCACTTGGCCTATATTGCCAGATTAACCGCAGGCTCAATCTTGCTTTTCTTGTACTGTATTTAAAAAGAGAGAGAGAGAAAAAAAAGAGGATGGATGAATTTTCTCTTTTTGTTCTTTATTCTTCTGATTGCTCTCCTGCTCTGCCCTAACTAAAGTTAGAGAGCTGTATGGATGAAGCGATCCCACTTGGAGCAGGCTGCTTTTAGCCTTACTGCATGCTGGTGCACATGGGGAAGCCCACTGCTAATAACAGATGGCAAAATGGCCAGATTAAAGAAATAGTCAATAATGAAAAGGTAAATATACCAAAACAATCTGTAAATTGGTGGTAAATACGGCAAAGATATCAGTAGAGCCCTTATGAGCTGTTGCTTCAACATTGTCGTGCTGATTTGCAGGATATTTTTGATGTGTGCAATGAAGATGTTAAAAGAGCCTTTTGAAACAAGCTAGAAAAGGTGGACAAGTACAGTATGTGTGATGAGTCTGTGACTAGGGTTGTGGCTGCTTTTCCTGTGCAAAAGTGCATAGGATAAGCCAGACATCTCTGGTGTTTGCTGGTGCTGTGAGGTGATGCTATAAAAGCTGTGAATAATATTCAGGGGAAACTGCAACCAGTGCAGTGACTCACGCATGCGAGGTAATGACGTAATGAAAGACTCGCGTTTAAGCGCTCCTGTGAAGTGAGCAACTGTGTTTGATTATTTAGTTCATTGCTATAATGACTCTAGTTGCTGTGTAATTTTTGTAATTTTAAACAACTGTGTGGTGTTTGGGAATGAGGCTGTGATCACGAACTGTCGTGTGCCTGGGCAGCATCCCAAGGCTGTGCGTAGTTACTTTATCCACCAAAGCTTCGTCCACCTGCAGGCTAGCAGCACAGGTCTTGCTGATAGATAGGTACAGGGCTGCTGGGCTAGTTAAATATGTTTTTTTGTGGACATTAGAACATGTCCACGTGAATACAGGTATGGACTTGCATCACATCTGCCCTCCACAAACTGATTTTGCCCAGGAATTCTTGTGATTGCCTGTCTGTAGCTGTACCTAATCTGCTGGGCAGGCTGGGCATGTGAATTGAGAGGAATCTCTCAGACACCCAGAGTTTGTTACTCCTCTCTCTAGGTGTGCTTAGCATTCTTCCCAGAGATGCCTTTACTCTGTGGCTTATTAAATATACATTGAATGAATACATCTTTTTGCAAATACACAGCATATCTTCAAAAATGCTGGTGGGGAAGGTGCTTCTGAGCTTCCTACAGAAGAATTGTTTTCTTCTTGTGTTCAAGAAAGACAATTCAAATGCTAGATAAAATATGTTAATATTTTGATATGATAGTTTGATATGATAATATTTTGATGTGATAGCTAATTGATATGATAGTTATATGATAGTAACTATTAACTATCATGGTACAAAGTATGTGCAGAAATGCATACATTTTGCAGACTTGTAGCAAATCTATTGCTAAAACTACATCTCTGGAAAAGATCTTGGCAGAAACCATTCTGTCTAAGGTTATTTTAGGGTAAACTGTCAGCCCGGTATGTTTTTTTAGACACTTGTGATAAGCAAGTTGTATCCGCAGGTGGCTTGTGCATTGCATTTCTGTGCTACAAATAATGGTCACCTGGCAGGCACTGTCCCAGTACTGCATGGTGCCATTTCTGCTGGCAGGTGGCTCCTATACAGTTTGAGATCAGATGAATATGGCTATTGTAATGGGATTTTCTCATCTGCCAGCCACTTGCACTCATACAGAAAGGGTGTTTTATATTATTAGCTGTTATTAGCTGTTTGATTTATAAAGAACTATTATGGGGGTGAGCAAATATAGGGGCTGGATAATGCCGTTCTCTGGCATATCAGAGAACGGTTCTGGCATATACAACCAGGGCATACACTTGACACTGAAAGTTGCAGTGGTTGTAGTCCTATGTCTGTGTTACTCTGTGCAGACATATTAGAAGAGACAGGCTCACGTGTTTCAAGTGGTATTTCTGCAGTTCTTAAAAGCAGCACTTATTTTTAGTAACTTATTCTGCATTTGTTTAATATACATTGTTGTGCGTTTTACAACTCTAAAGTAGTTGAGGTTTTTCAGAGAAAGACAGGTAATAATTGCAGCAAATGCCATTGGTTCTAATAGGCTATGTGGCATTTTGTTAATGAATTTTTTTTATAAATACTAAGATATAGTTTTCTGTTATATATATGTACTTCAAGTTGTGGGAAAACACCTAGAAACATTCAAAAGCCTGAGTGAAACATATGACTAAATTTAAAGAGCAATCAAGTTTAAATAGGTATTCTCTTTTGAATTTTTGATACATTAAAATGGGTAAAATTATGGTAGCTTTTTCCATATAACAGAGTACAGGAAGGCTGTCAAGAAAAGTGCATTAATATTTTGTTAATCATGCTAGTATCTGTGTTTCAGCTTTACTGCTCTGTAGAGTTTGGCTCAGTGCTAAGCTGTAGCTCACATAAGGTGACATTCGGTTAGCTGCCTTGTTGGAGCAAGTGCTGAAAATGAATCATTTGAGGATGTGATTCCTTAACCCGCATTTCAAGAATACAACCCATTCATCACTGCGATTAGTTCAGCTTCGTTTCAAGCTGTAAATATGGGAAGCAGAGCTTGCTGGAGAGTGTGTAAATGCTGTAGCCTATGAGATGACAAGGAGTATGGGGGTTTAGATAAGTGTACGTATACAGGCTGTAGCAGCTCGATGCCAGGGGCCCGAGGCTGCTGCTGTGTTGGGCAGGATGTGCTGGCAAAGCCGCCTCACCAGGCCTTTGGGCCTCCCTTCACATGTGTTCATGTCTCATCCCTTTCCTGCCTGAGGGAGTCTCTTAGCTTGAATGGCCATGGCACTTCAAATAGCCCCTTCAGATCATTGCAAAGAGGACTTTATATCTAGCCTCTTGTCTGTGTCTCCAGTTTCATACTGCCAGTGCTCTTCTGAAGTCCTGTTGATACCCTGTTATCAGAACTGGGAATGTTTCCTTTTGATCTCCGTTGTAAGGGTGGATTTGCTTCCTCTTAGCAAGTTATTTGCTGCTGCTACTGCTGCTGACACTGAAGCTTGGAGCAGAGACCAGACAAGGAGACTGAGTAGTCCAGATTTTTTCCCCAGATTTCAGGGCAAAGGAAAGTACAAGGCTGTTGTGTGTGGCTGCATCTAAAAATTGCTATAGCGAACTCCACCCCTTCAGGGCTTGGTCCCAATAAACACGGTGAGATGATGGATGTCAGGTGTGTTTAGTACGTGAACACTGTACTTCCTGTTGTCTATTACGTCCTCACAGGGCCTTTTAGAGTTTTAAGGTCTGTATCTTTTTGTGTGTTTCCATCCAGTTTTCTGAAGTAAACCTTTAATTTTATTGTGAGCTGATTTCATGTGGGGTGAAATTCTATTTAATCCAAACAATGTGACTTCTACAGATACATTTTCCAGCACTTAAAATACTTACGGTTAATAGTGGGGGGGAAAAAAAAAAGTAACTTTAGCATGTTATTGGAGTAGTCGTTTCCCATTCTTACAAGACTGTTGTGTTTTTTTGTTGTTGTTTTTTGTTTTTTTTCCTTAACTGTCTTAGAAAATTGCTTGAGCATTTCCATATGACTAATCCTACTGCTAGTAACATTTGTCATGCTTAAAATGACTAACCAGTGTTAGCATTAAATGACTTTTCTGAGTGCCATATGAGCTGTTTTAAGTAGCAATGGTATCAGTAAGCTACAAGTTTTCTATAAAGATACAGAGAGCTGTGAGTTTCCATTATCAAAATTTTGTATTTGAGGCCTGTGCGGAAAAAACATTATTTGGAGAGCTGTATGAAAATATGAGTTACCTGGGGGCATTTAGCATCTTCTGTGGCATATATTTTAGCACTCAGTGCATTTCTTAAAAGTTGAAGACTTGACACTATTACAGATGAAAGCTCTGTCTGGAAGAACCTGCTGTACTGGCTGAGTAGATTTAAATAAGCAGCTCCATGTGTACAAGGCTGTAATTGTATCGGATGATGCAATTTCTGCCTCTCATGAAGCATCCTTATATTTCTTTCTGCTGCTAGACAGACAGTGTGGTGTTCTCTTTATCAGGTCTTTTCTCCATAAACATCTTAGTTTTCAGACTTTCATGGGAGAAACAATACAGTATTCCTACAAAGGGTCTTGATCTCTGATCAGAAGCTCGTGTTGGTTGTTTGACCACCAACCAAATGTTTTTTGACTTTACAATGTACTAATGGTAGTGCATTTACAACTTGCTTCTTGTGCTTTTGTTAACTATTCCTCATATCCAAGTGGAAACGATTGAAGTTTAACACACACATTTTCTGGAATATGGCCTAAAATAAACAAAATGTTAAAGCAAAGCAAATGTTATAAATGTGCTTTTTAAGGTGTATTCCTCAAGCATTTTGCATGTAAAAGGGGTGGAATGAAAATGTTTGAAATCGTAATGGTTCTGTTAAGCTCACGATGGCTTAGCTTCTGGAGAACACACTGTGCTGCCAGCGTGAAAGTCCCGTATCTATAAGGTCACAGTTTTACTGAAGTGACAAGAGCTTTCCTTCTTGGTTTTTATTCCCTTTGGTAGGGAAGAAATTCAGTCGAAAGAAGGTGGCATAGAGGAATGCTACAACTTTGCCCCTGTAGAGGCTCTAGGAATAACATGTTGCTCTGGGACTCCAGAAGAGATTAGGCTACTGAGAACAGTCTTTTAAGTGTTATGATTTCGCTCGGCTCTGTAAACAGGTTTATGTGTATATTACAGAGCCTGACCCTAGTAGTTGTAAAAACAGATACGTGATATACGTGTCTTTCAGAGGAGTTCAAATCCAAAACTGTTGTTAGTATGTATATCGAATCCTGTAATAAGGAGAAAAACTGATCTTCAGCAAGACAAATGAAACAGCTGAGCAAATTTTCTTCAGAGTTTAATTTAGGTATCCAGAGCAGGTAGTTAACTGAATTGGTACTGTAGAAAACACTTATCAAAGGGAATCTATGCACATTCTTCTTGACTGTGCTTGAGTCACGTAGTCCGTAAGAGATAGATCTTGGTTTGAGAAGGCAGTTTGGCTGTGAGCTGAACTGTCGGTCAGTGACCCAGCTACCTGCAATTGGAGCTGCCAGACAGGCAGGTGTAACGCAGTACCTTACCCTTGGCTGCCCGTGGGTGAGGTGCAAGGCTTGTCAGGTCCACGTAGCTGATCCCTTCAGCCTAGATGAGGAACACTGTGACCCAGCGCAGGGTAATAAATACAGCTTGAAGCCAAAGGGCTCATGGTATAATTCTAAAACGCAGTCATTTAATTTCATACGGCAAACCAAACTGTGTTCCTTCTCTTTCTCCCTCCCTCCCTCCCTCCAACTGCAGCGCTTTCATTTGATCTGACCGAATCAAGACCACTTGACAAGAATCAATAGGAGTATTTGCTATTATTTTAAATAGTAGAGATTTGTTTACTGCTATCCCTAGAGGTCTAAAAGTCTATTTCTGTGCCTCTTACACTTCTATTACCCTAACTTTCTCCATCATTATGAGGGTGATCATGTTTCCGTTCCTCCCATTAAGTCATAAGCTGTTTTGATTTTCTTTTTAATTTCCAGCCTCAACATTTCTTATGTAAAAACAAAACCTCCTCCCACTATTTTAAGTACGAATGATTATAGCAAACAAGATTTGACCTTGTAGTTGCAGCCAAATATTACTAAAACTTGGCTTTCACATATTGCTTTGAAGGCAAAAAGGACTACCAGAACTCGGTAAAATAAGACTTTTTTTTTTGCATTTGCGGACTGTCTGAAAGAACAAGTGCTCCTCTAATGAATATTGTGAAGCATTTTATTTAGTAACACTGTTAGTAAGTAAGTGTTGAAACTATTTTTTTTATTAGGATCCATACTACAGATTTAATGATGTGATGTACAGATGGATCTCGCTGGATAACTGGACTTACAGCAGGACATTCAAAACTCCTTTTGATGTCAGGTAAGCATTGTGTCTAAAATAATTCTGTGCCATCTTTCTTGCAGAACTGCTTGTTAATATATCAGCCCAAAATCATAGAATCATAGAATGCTTAAGGCTGAAAGGGACCTCTGGAGATCATCCAGTCCAACCCCCCCGCACACACAGGGTCACCTAGAGCACGTGGCACAGGACTGCGTCCAAGCGGGTTTTGAAGATCTCCGGAGAAGGAGACTCCACAACCTCTCTGGGCAGCCTGTTCCAGTGCTTGGTCACCCTCACTGTTAAGAAATCGACTTAATACTTCCATGTGGATTAAAATACACAATAATATGCAACTGTAAAGCTGTTGCTAAAAGACATTATAGTAGTTGTTTTTTTTCCCATTATTTTCCATTATGAAAAATGATTTATGAATTGCAGACTGTGAGTAATAATTAAATTAATTGGAAGCCAGCCCATCTGATATCTGGTGGGTATGTAAACATGCAGTGTTGCAGACATGGGCCACTTCAGGTGTCATCTTAATTTAACTATTTAAAAATGTTATGTAGCTACACAAAGTCAAACATTCTGGAGATAACTGAGACAATCACTGCTGAAGATAACAGGGATGTGTATTGTGTTTTCCATGTGTTAACTCCAGATACTCTTAACAATTTTACACATATGTCATCTTCTATAGAAAGTGGCAAAAAGTGAATTTGGTTTTTGAAGGAGTGGATACAGTAGCAGAAATACTGATCAACAACATCACTATTGGCAGAACAGACAACATGTTCAACAGATACGTAAGTAATACATTTATTTCTGAAGGCGCTCCTGTTTTTTCTTCAAAGGCTTTTTGTGCCAGAGACTTTCAGTTTGTTCAGGTAGACATGAAAATAGGTACTAGCATTTAGAAAGTGTTGACCTGAGAAGTGCACGAGTAGTCAGATAGCTAACTGCTGGAAAGCACAGTGTACTTTCCAGGAGCAGCAGAGTCAGATATAGATGGAAATGTTCTTTATAAGAAGACCAATGCAAAAGGATCAGTTCAGCTAGTAATATAAGTCTTACTTCTTGGGATCTGTCACAGATCCAAGCAAACATGAGCCTACATCTGTTATATTAGCTGTAAATCTGCTTACTAATAGGTATTAGAATGGTTTGCATATGAATGTTGAAATGAAAAAACCTATGGTGCAAAGTCTTCATAAGTGTTTCCATGCTTTTTCTTATATAGGGTTTTAAATTTTAATGTTGGGGTTTTAGTAATGCTGTCTTGCATCTTTAGGCTTAGCCTATGTCAACGCGAGAGTGCTCATTGTAGAATGGTCTCAATAAACCAATTTCATAGCTTTGATATTTAAAGTGATTCTGGGTACTGGTAAAAGGGGAAATCCCTGCCTTTCTCCTAAAGAGACCATAAAGGAAGAGTTAAAGGTGGACTGTCTTCTATTTGTCAGGTGAGTAATTGAGTCACAAAAGAAATCTGGTTTCCTTTATGCCTGATATTTAACCATTCTGGTAGGTTTCATTGCAGAGATGCCCAATAGAGACGAGTGACCTGGATTCTGACACCTGGGTCTATGTGACCTAAGACAAGTCTCTTAGGTTCTTTCTTGCAGAAAGAACCTATTTGTGAAATAAGAAATTTCATCCAGCTCTTATGAAATAATATGTTTTAATATTTGGAAGGTATTTAAAGATTGCTAGTAGCAGGCTCTGTAGAATGGTGTAGTGGTTTATTTTACCCCTATTTCTGCAACTTCATTGCGTGGCAGATTGTAGCAGTTCATAAAATGGCTTTTAGTACAGAACCGGAGTGAAATGTATTAGATGAGTCTGGGCTTGCTGTGATCCAGGCACCTATGTTGTTCGATTGCTCCATACAAGTACCTCTTCAGGAAAGTCTCTGTGAAGGCTCCTGTGGAAGCCATTTACTTTGCAGTTTTCTGCTGTCTGCTAAAGAGGTGAGACAAGTGATACTAGAAGGATGTTCACAAGGTGGGACAAGTGCCAAGACTTGGACTGTCATGAATTAGCAGTTTAGAGAAGAATTGGGTATTAGCCATTGGAACCCCATTGTCCTGATAGCACAGGAAAACCCAAACATTTATCCCTCTGTGCAGTTGCACTGAAGGGATCTTGTGAGTCAGTGAGGAAGCTCCGAAATGCTTTATTTGGGGCTGACATGGAAAGTGTAGCTGTGCATTTTAGGGATGGGGATGCAGAGAGCATGAAAGTGCCTTTGCGTCACTTGTGCAAAAGGCAGCTGCAGGCTTTGTGGTAGCTGGCAGCTATCTGGATGGGAACAAAACACATTTCTAAAGATTCAGCTGACTTCTGCACGTGGAGGAAAGGTGAAGAATCTGCTGCCATCCCCATCTCTCAAGCAGGTCTGTGTGCAAGCAAAGGGCTACAGCTGGAGGTGGAGGCTCAGAGTGGGCAAAGTGCTTTCCTCAGAAATCTTGTCAAATCCTCATTCTTAGTGTACATCTTCTTTTTTCATTTTAAGAGATTTTTTTTTTGTTTTCCTCCCAAACCTAAACCTGATGAGGCTGAAGTTCATATGCTTTTGAATAACATTTGTATGGTATTAGAATCCCAGCTTGACCTTGATTATAAATTTCATAAATAAATCAGAGCTGTAATGACTTTGTTCTCTTTTCTTGACCTAGAGCTTTGATATTACCCGCATTATTAAGGAGGTCAATTTTGTTGAAGTCCGTTTCTTATCAGCCATTTCATACGCAGCAGAGCAGAGCAGGTGCCACAAGGGATACAGCGTGCCCCCGGCGTGCCCTCCACCTGTGCAGAAAGGAGAGTGCCACGTTAATTTCATCAGAAAGGTAGGGACAGAATTGTCTCTCTCTTGCTTGAGGCCTGAAAAGAAGTAGTCACCATGTGCTGTCCTTACTGCATATTTCAGAATACATCTGTATCACTGTTATTAGTTGAACATACTTTTCATTGCAACTCTTTTCTGATGCCCCTCCAAGAAATGCGTAATCCAGCACGCTGCTAATGCAAGAGGTGTAACAAAGCCAGGCCAATGATATCTAGGTGATAAGAATGTTTAAGAGGCTGTATTTTTCAAGGAGTCACCAAGACGACTTGCTGCTAAGAAAGCAGGATAGCAGAGGGAAATGTGTAATCGTATTTTGATGCACTGGGTGGGTTTAGCAATGTGTACTGGCAGTAGAGGTCACTGTTTAGAAATACCAGAAGGTATTGCCAAGGCTGTAAAAATCTCAGCCCAGTAGCTTTGTGAGTTTATGCCGTTGCTGATGTGCTGTGCTTTTTTTTTTTTTTTTTTTCATGTTTGTTACTATTCACATGCCATTCTTGCTAAGTGAGTTTTGGTCTTTTTAAGAAAGTCATTTAAAGCCTTCTCAAAAATGACGAGAATCCTTTTAATACAGAACTAAATCTAGCTTCCTTTAGAATTTGTTAAGAGAGGTAGATTTCATATTCTCTTGGGAGCATTCTTCAGGATTAAGACGCTGTCTTTATTACTACATGATGCTTTTATTTTTACTGCATTTTAGAGGGTTGTTTGGTTCTGAGTCCATGTGCTGTCTCCACCGTATTTCTTAGAAATCAGGGCAGGGAGAAGCTTGAAAGGAAGATAGCACTTGAACAGCTGTAGTCTTATTTATAGAGCGAAGAGGGCCAGGAATGGTTTTTGTACTTTACTGAGCTGAACCTGAACCTTTAAACCTGTAAGAAAGTCTCTTAGTGCTCTTCCTCAGAGGAATTGATTGACTGTGTTAGGAAGCTGCTTCAGATATATCCAAAAACATTTTTCATTCCACATATAAGGTGACAACAGCAGAGATGGTAACTTTCAAAAGTAAACAAATGCGCCTGGACATTTCTGAAGTAAGCTAGGAGCTTACAAGCTTAAAGTAATGGAGTGCTGTTTATACATCTAAAGTTCCGTATTAAATGCAGCAAACTATTTTAAGTCTTAGTAAAAATTTGGGGTCAAACATAAGCCTTTCACTAGTAATGTAGTTTAATTATACGAGTGTATTTTTCTCATGAGAAATTATTTCTGATAGTCTCTGCAATGTTATTAGTGAAACTTGACAATCTGTCAATGAAAAATTGGTTTATTTTTTTATAAAGGGAAGGTTATTTTCAATCTGGGTTGTTTTCTAAGAATGTATTGTCCCTGTTCTTACACTTGAAATAGGTTCAGCGCTTGCTTCCTGGAAGGCTCTTTTGCAACTTGATAGGCAGGCAGGCCCTCAGACTGCAAGGAGGCAAGGGATAGGCCAGGCTTGTGAAATGCGGTTTGCCAAAGTTAGTATGCCTTGGCTGTAAGTTGTTAGTTGCTAAATTTAGAACTGTAGGTCACTGTACAAGACTTTGAGGAGATCTATTGTGTTTGCTTTGGGGGCTGGGGCTGCATGAAGTGTGGAGGGCAGCTGCGTAGATGTCTTCAAGGGGGCTTGTTAGCTGGAAGTCTGACATGGTTTAAAAAAACAACTAACGGCGAAGCAACCTAGGGGCTGTCGGATCAGAATTATGTAGTTTTGTTGGTTATTCTGATGGTGGAACCCGATCTAAGCTTTTTCTCAGCCACGGGTTTGTTCCTTTTGTTTTTGTGTGGGAGAAACGTAGAAAGAAAGAAATTGTGTACATGACTGAACTACACAAATGCACCCAACAGATATGCACATCTCTTTTCTTGTACTAATCTGTGATGTTACTGCAAAAATTAAAGGGTAAAAAGTTTCAGAGGTACCTTTGATTTTTTTAATTTGATATATAATTTTAATTGTGATTAGTATTTGTAGTAGTCAGTTTGCCGCTTATTTTGTCTTTTAGATGTAGAATCAAGCCCTGTCTTTAACACTAAAATAATTCAGAGTTGATCTGAGAGTAACCTGCCAACTTTTTTTTTTTTTTTTTTTAGTCTTTATTATGTTTGTAAAGCTCATGAGGTAGGGTGGTGTTTTGGTTTCTCACTAGTATTAAATTCTGATATGTATGAATATTTCATACAAACTTGTATTTTTAATGTATGTACCAGCAAAGTTTTAGTGAAAGAGTAATAAAAAAAAAAATCAGTAGGCAGTAGGCTACCTTGAGTTGGTGGAAAATGGGAAAAAAAAAATCTGGAGTACATGGCAGTATTTTGTTTCTACATAGCAAATCATTTTTACTTCTGAAACAGCAGAGATTTCTGTGTGAAAATTGGGCAACTGTAACCTAATCACTCTGTATTATAGGAGCAGTGTTCCTTTAGCTGGGACTGGGGCCCTTCTTTTCCCACTCAAGGAATCTGGAAAGATGTTAGGATTGAGGCCTATAACCATTACCACTTGATTTACTTCACTTTGACTCCCTTCTTTGGTAAGCTATATACTTTTTATTGTTGTTTCGCCCTTGGAATACAGGCCATTTCATTGTTAGGCTCAATTAACTTCCATTTAGGAAAGATGTTGTTTTTTCACAACTGAATATAGAGTGCTTACCACAACACACCCATTTAGGTCTTGAGACAGTGCTTCAGTATAAGCAGTGGTGATAAGAACTGTTAACACTAGTTTCAAGGGCCCAGAGTTTTCAGGACTTGACATGTCGTTTAAAACAGAAGTGCAGCCAGGCTATGCAAGGATATTTTGCTAAGTCTGCAATACAAGAGGACAGCCTCTTGCATTCTTCCTCCCTGACTTACCTAACTGGTTTTCTCCCCTGCTGTGGTCTTTCGTTTTTTCCTTTGTCCTTCTGATCTTTTTGCCAAGCAAAAATGAAAATAGTTAATTTTCTGTTGAAACTCTGTTTAAGAGATAATGTGCCCACTACTAGACCACCCGTGCGCTTGCTTTTGCCACATGTTGAGCCCAGGCTTCAGCGGAGTAAAGACTAGCACGTGTGTCCTCTGCACTGGGTTGAATTTCACCCTTTGGCGATAGAGTTGTTGTTTATGAATAAAAGAGGAAGACGTCATTCCCTGGATGCTTTTAAAGCTTCCTGAAATAGATGCAGGTCTTAGCTAAAATTAACGTGACTGGAATTTCCATGGAAAGCCCCAGCACAGACGCTGTGTGCTGCCTACAACTCGATTATCGTAAAAATGTTTTCTGATCCCTCCCTCATTCCCACAACTCCACCTTCTGGTAAGTGAAGTCTTGCTCTCTGGATAAGCAGAGAGCAAATCCCCTTGGTTTGGCAGACAGTGCTTTGGAACCAGAGCTTATTAACATTCAAACATAAAACACTGGAAAAATAAAGAGTAAGTGAACAACTTGGATTTGAGCTGTGCATACATTGCTCTTCAGCTTTGGTATCACAGCCGTTTGCCCAGTGAATCTGTAAAGGATTCATTGTTCCTGACTTCTGTGCCCAGGGCCTGCAGTTTAAGCACTTCAGGAGTAGGCTGGGATTTCTTGGAGGGGACATAAAATGTGCTGTAATGTTTGCCCTGGGGTGAGGGGGCTAACCCTTTCAATATCTCCAAAAATCATTCCTCTCTGGGTAGTACTGGGTGTAATTTAACCTTCAAAGGCAGAATGTAATTTTTTGCTTTTGCAAGGAACTTTCTCTTCTGTGAGAACTAAAATATATACATATAAAGACAAAGCAAGCAATTAATAATGTAAACAAAGTGTATCATAATTCTAGTTTTAGATGTTTTCTTTGCTTTCTATATGATTTACTTTTGCTGGATAGATGTCTATCTATAATATTTAAAGTAGAGGATTAGATAGGCTATGCTTGTAGATAAATAATAAAGTGGCTAAAGTTAATGGGGAATTTGAGCATTAATCATGAAATCCTTGACCTCAAATTGCTTTAATCAGTAAGTTGTTTTGTAAAGGAGAGGACTCTCTGAGGCGACTGTGGTGAGATCTTGGGCAAGTCATTGATGTGTTTTCTCTACCACACTTTGGTGGTCGAAGGGATACAAAGATGCAGCCTGTCAAGTCTAGACACAATGGGCCAAATTCATCCCCAGCATAACTCCATTCATTTTGTCTAGTGACTCCAGGATGAATTGGGCTAGTTTTCTGTTAATACTGTTTTTGTTTCATAGACAAAAGTGATTGTACTGCCCTGTGATTACAATCTTTTCCCAAAGAGGACCATGTTCATGTGAATGCTGACTAAAAGAAAATATAATGTCTGTGGGAGTTGGTGGGGAAAAATACCCTTCCTAATGATAGAGTAATTGGTTTCACATTCTCTGACTTGCACAGAACTCCAAAAAACCCTGGATAGCTTTGGAGTGAAGAAAAAAAAAAAAGAGAGGAAAGTGAACTATAAAATATCCATCACACCATGTAGTTGTTTCCTGAGTCAGCAGATGTAAACACACATAGCAAGTGTGCTAAGCAGTGAAGAATAACTTGATAGGTCTGGGTCAAATACAGTCTCAAAACTGTTTAATTTAAGCTGAGGATTTTGAATCATTTCTTTGATGAGTGATCATGTTAATCAATAGATATGTAAACGTAATTCCTAAATTATTGTTTTTTCTCCCCTTTCACTTAGAAAAGAGTGCTCAGCAGTGGAGTCTTCAGATTGAGTCTATATTTGATGTAGTCAGCTCCAAGCCGATTTCAGGTCTTGTGACGGTGAGCATCCCCAAGTTGCAAACGCAGCAAACATTCAGTGTGAAGCTTCAGCCTGGAGAAGGCAGCATTGTGCTGCTTGTAAATATCAACAAGGTAAGGGGTGATGGAGACCCTCGCCAAATATAAAGTGTTTCCCTGGCTTCCAGTTTGTCTGTCTGCTTCCATACCAGTCTTGGTCCTCTTTCCGCTTCCTTTTTTGTTCCTCACTTTAATAACGGTGCAGCACCACTTCCAGGATAGAGGAACAGTTCTTTTTCTCTCTTAAAAAATGATTTCTGTGGGGCTGCATAGCTCAGTGTGCAAAAATTGATGAAGGCTTTCCCTTACCAGAAAACAGAAAGACGTCCTCGTCACTGGCCACTGTCAAATGAGCTACCTAAGTAAATAACCCTTGGATCCTGTATGTCTCTTTTTATTTACTGACAGCAGGTATCTTGTCTCTCAGGCTGCTGTTCACTGGATTGAGTGGGATTAGAATATACTGGAATGTGCTTGGCTCTGTCTTGGCTCTCCTGAGAGAGAGAGGATACCTCCCCAATGTGATCTCTGGCTGGCAGGGAATTTAGGGTAAAATTTGTGGAGCTGTGCTTGCTTACATTGCACTTGCTTAAGGACAGCAGGAAATGCAGGAAGGCAAAACGTGCTGTGTTGAGGGCATGACTCTGTTGAAAAGGGAGGATTGAAAAGACCAGGGTCTTTGGGCTTTGACAAGTCTGACAGTTTGTAACGTCTGAGGGTATACAGTGACCTCTGTATATTTTACTGGCCTTTGCTAATTGTGTCTCTTGCTGTGTAACTCTGCATTTGTTTCCCCGGCTTGACTGTATTAGATAGGTGTTCCCGAGTCCTCTTGTCAGCTTGAGTAGAGAAAAAGCATCTGTTAAGGACAAGCAGGGTATTTGAGTTTTAATATGTACACTCAGCTGCTCCATATGCTTTGTTTTATACATAAAATAAAAACATACAAATGTAACATTTTTGTTACTGTTGGCATTTGACATGCAAGTTACGTGGGTGATTATCCATGCCTGGTTGTGTTTACAAACAACAGTCTCTGCCTAGCCCTTTCAGGGATTCCATTGAACAGGCGCTGTGATGCGAAACTTGAAAAGTGATTTTATTTCAGTTTGTTGCCCTACCCCCAAACTTGGAAGAGATCCGTTGGTGGCATGTGAGAAAACACTGTTCGGAGTGGAGGGAACAGCCGTGCTTTGTTACTCTTTGTGCACGAAGGGTTTCACTGCACAAATTCACAGCAGCTGATGCGTTGGGAAGCCCTATGGAGCATTCTCATGTGTCACCGAGCACAGAGCTCTTGCTCTGTACGACAGGCTTGCATGGCGCATGTTAGAGAGAGACCTCGCTGGAAACAGAGTCCTGGCTGAGAGCTCACTGCAGATTTTGCTGTGAAGATGGTGTTGGTTTGGGTGGTGCATACAGCCCAGGATATGGAGCAGCATCCCGGGTGCTGTGTTGTTGGTGTGATGGCATTTTGTTCACCAGCATGGGGGTGACATCACTGGTGGCCAGTGAGCTGCTCCATCATGCTGCAAACGCTGCCTCGCTGCCGGGACATGCACAGCTTCCGTTTGTGTGCCTGCATCTCAAGGGCTCGCGCACCAACACGGGCAGCTACAGCAACTGCAGGTCCCAGAGGCTGAAATGTGAATGTATTGGTGATTATGTTGCAGCGCGGCTGCAGCAAAGCTTATTGTTGAGCAGCTCTCTGGCCTCATTTTGTTTGAAAAATTCAAAGCTCTCCTTACATGGCTCTGCTCAGCAGGGATCCATCCATTGTTTGATTGCTTTCCCCAAGCTCTGTGCGATAACACTCAGCTGACACATCTTGGCAGTAGAATTGAGCAGCAGAAGCACACTATTGGGATAGGGGCATAGTTATAGGAAATTCATTACGTAAATATTACTGTGTGTGACTAAGTCATACTGTCTTCTTAGAGGCAGGTTTTTTTATAGTTGTGAAAATGAACTTTTTGAGTAGTAATGAGATGATAAAAAACCATTGAGACAATGCAGACAGCACTGAAAAGAGAGAATGAATTTTTTTTTTTTTTGACTTAAAAGCTTGACACAACTCAAACACTCAGTGTGGTCACATATTACCAAGATGACAGCTGAAAAGTGTCACCTCTGTATACAGAATATTTCTTATGGTAGATAAAAGGAGCAATTAGGAAAAGCAAAAATAGGAAGAAGGTGCAAAACTCCTGATGATCAGTGGAAATTGCTATTATTATTACTATTATTTTATTGCGCCCAAAAAAGACCCAGTTGTGTCTTACATGCTTATTTGGTAGCAATCCCTCTGTAGTGCCTAGGAGCCAAGTGAGACTGAATCCCTATTGTAGCAGTCAGAGCGGGACCTGCTTCTTCTGCAGAAGGCTACAGTGTAAATGGACTTGGTGGTACAAGGGCAGGGAGTGAAGTACAAAGCAGGGTGAACAAAGCCTGTCCTAAGACTCAGATATTTAAATCTTGGTGGAATATTAAGTCAGTGTACTTCAACTGAGGGATAAGAGCTGGATGTTTGCATGCGTGTTTATGCATGCTTGTGGCCCGCAGTGGACACAAGATGAGGTGATAGCCTCATACTTCTGTCTACAGTGCAAATACTTTTCACCTTGCAGGTGCAGCTGGTTGAGAGATCCCAGTTACCATAGCTCAGCTGAGGCACATAAACTCATTAGGCTTGTAGTAATTCACTCCACAGTGTCCAAAGCTGTGTGTTATGGTTCATTATACTCTGACCTTCATTGTTTTATGTTCAAGAGTGCTACAGTAGAGACATGGTGGCCAAATGGACATGGAAAACAAACTGGATACAATGTGACAACTGTTTTCACCATGGAAGCAGGACACAAGATTGAGAAATTTTCCAAGGTGAGTCCTTCAACTTGATTACAGCTGGTAGCGCACTAATGTTAGGACAGCTGCCCTGCATGGCAGGTATCTAGTGCTCCTGGGCATTTTCCTGCTTTATAATTTTCATGTGAGGATATGAGAAATAAATGAGAAATAAGAGCTTTCTAATGTCACAGTACATATATTAAACAGTTTTCTGGCAGCCTTAACCTTTTTAAGCACTTTTACTTGCATACATCCTGGAGAATGTCTTGCAATTATTTGAAAACCTCCAAAAAGATGCTTGTTTTTTCTTAAATTTTCTGCCTGAAGGAAGAAAAGCACTCTTTGACTTGAAATATGATTCTGATGGGTTTGTGTCATGTCCTGAAAAGTCCTTTTATGTTTATATAAATTAATGTGGAGAGGGAGGTTTGCTTATTTACTGGGATTTTTCTTGTTAATTCAGTGTTTTAAAAAATTGTGGGATAGGGTATATTTCTTATAAAGCTAACATAGCTTCATTTATTAGAATATGTTAGACGTGCTTAATGTTTTAGAGGCGTGAAACATCTTAAGTAGGACCACCAAAGTAGTATTTAGGGATGTTTGTGTAAGGATTCCTGGAATGCACTGTCTGTATAACTCTCTGTGTGGTGTTTACTAAGAAGCCTAGAAAAGGTGGTCTTCAATTATCCACTGAAAAAAAAAAATCATACAAATTAGACAGGGCCTCTCATGCCATTAGCATGTGGAAACAACCAAGTAAATGTCTACATTTATTAGGTGTCTCTGATGAGTACTGCTTCACTAAAAGCCAGTCTGGTCACCAGGTTTCTGAACTGCTATTCTTTGTAACATTTATGCTAGTGGAAAGTCATAGGAAAAACAGGAATTTCGAAAGTCTTAGTCTTTTAAGGTTAGGCCTTTTGTTTGATTTTTAAAGTTCCAATAATAATGCCTTGTTGTATTAGCGATACAATTTCAAAACAACAACAACAAAAGACACAGCATATTACATTTGGAAAAACAGGCTGTAGAAAATTTCCAGCTATAAAGCAGGAAAAAAGGGAAAATTTGTTTGTTATGTGAAACTTATACAGTGCCAAGAGATTTAATTGATTACACCTGGGCAGTTGCATCTGGCCATTTTATAGAGCACTGTGACTTTTGTTCACAGAGACTTCATGGTCTACAAAAGATACCCATGTTTTCCCCCTGCCCAAGAACTCTTCAAGTCTTGTATCAGATCCCACTGGCTGGACTGCTTTGCTTCTGCTATGTCTCCCAAGAAACTTTGGTTTCTTAGTCTCCCAAGATGTTAACTAATCCTTTGGGAAAGCCTCTGGGGAAATCTCCTGGTTTGCAGTTATGTCGAGCTCTCTGGGGCTTTGGCCAGCTGTGCTGGGAACCGTTGGCTGAGGGAAGTACCTGCTCTTTTGGAAGGAGTAGCAGGGGAAAAAAAAACAAAACAGTTATGGCCAGCATCCTGGACAGGCTTTTCTATTTTGCTTTGTTTTCTCCATCTGCGTTGTTTGGTTTGAAGTTTGTTTCTCAGGATAGCATGAAACAAAGTCATAGCCAGAGGTTTTTGTAGAATAAAACTGTTTTTCTTGGGAGAGGGTGTATCCAACTCTATAATTGACAAGCTGCCATCCCTACATCAAGGATTTTATTGCCTCTTTCATTACTGCTTTAGAGATTTGTTTGGATCTGGACTCCATTTCCCCATTATGTTTATTTATTCTTCATTGTAATCAGAGTTTTTTTTTTTTATTTCTTGATGCTATTTTAGTACTTGGAAGATTGCAACCTACAGCTGTGTTCCCCTCCTTTCCTCTCTTTTTCCATTCTCTTTTTCCGCAGGCCTTTTAGCATAACTTCCAGAAGTCTTTCCTTTTGGCTTCTTAGTTCTCACGCTGCTTTCATGCTGTGTGCTAATTTACTAAATCACCAGGGTGTTCTGTGATCTTGCTTTAGCTCTGGACATCTTTACCCTGTAGCTTTTTTCTGACCTGTAAAATCTGGGAATCCCAGATGTGATTAATGGGCCACTTGCTGGGTACAAAGCCTTCGCACATGACCAGCGTGACTTCGTGACTGTGCGCAGAACCAGCTGCGTGCTGGGGTTGTGGTGGCCACAAGGTTTCCTCTGTGCACTCCAAGACTAGGAGAAATGTTCGGATAGGAGAGCAGCAAGACCTGTCCATCACCTTGAGTTTCAAAGTGGCCAAACTTGTCCTAGTCAGAGGGATGTATCCTCACGTGTGCTAGATCCAGCCTGAGGGAGCACAAACACACTGAGCCCTAGAGGCCTGGGGACATGAAATGCCACTGAGAAGCTGCTCCCCTGGCTCGTGCTGTATGATTGGTCCTGTCTGGGTGTCTCAGTCTCTCAGATTGCCTCAGATTTGGCCAGTTTCAGGAGTTCCACTTGAGCGACATCGCATCACTTCTGTAATGGGAGTGCTCGTTACAAGTGCACTTTGAGGCAGGCCAACTTGCTTGATAGCATCCATTAAGAGGAGCTCCCAAATACTTTGGGAACCCTTACTATAAATCCTACTCCTTTTAGTTTTTGAGCCACAGAAAAGTCATGCTAGAGCTTGAGGAGTTTTTCTTCGCATGGTTGAATTCACTGGAGGGAGGTCAGTACGTTTTAGCTAGTATCGTAAAGTACAAATATGTAGTTTTTTATTAACCTTCAGTATTCAGGGGAACTGTGAAAACTTTAATGGAATACTGGGCGTTTTATTCAAGTTTTCATGTTAAAATGAATGTGCAAAAATAAATTGTAAGAATAGGTGGTTTACTTGTTCCAACTGTAGAGTTCCAACTTCTGATAGAGAGCGATCTGTACTCTACAACCTGATCTTTTGAAATAGTATGGCAAATAGTTATTTGAAGGAGGGGTTGCTAGTTTAAAGGTAGCCTAGATTTGATTTAAAAAAAAAGTTCCTGTCCTCTGGAGCATGTTGGCTGAAATTCCTCATTTGCTTTCCTTCTCATTCTTTGATTTCTCAACTTTCTCCCTGTGATAAGGAGCAAATGGGTATCACAAGGAAAAAGCATTTTCTTTCTAATCTAGGTGAGATGAGGTGGAACAAGGAGGGGGAAAAAGGGCAAAAACAGGATCTTGGAAGAGACACATTCTATAATATCTTGTAGCTGTGCAGGTGCCTAAAATCACAGCTATTCTCTCTCTGCCCTGGAAGAAGTGGAGAAAGACATCTCCACAAAGAAGGGTTCAACACAGCGTATTATTGCAGTCAGCTAACTGCTCTCTTGTGACTGTGCCTTTATCTGAAATGACCTTCAACACCTTATGCCAAGTTGGTGGTTATTTAGCTGAACTGGTCTCTGTGAAACCTTACTCCTGACTGTGCTGCTCAAATACAGCTGTGATGGCCAGAGGGTTTCAATTCCTCTCGAGCATTTTTTATTTGTGTGTGTATTTCTTCCCCTTGATTTGACCTGAAATGACATATTTTTTAAGAGAAGTGCATTTTGCTTTCACTGAATGCAAGCTAAACATTCAGAGAAAAGACATACTTTAAAGTTCCTGCAGTCTCAAAAGTAGGTAGGGTTATCAGTGGAATGCCTTTTTTAGCCTTGTTAAAGTGTTTTTTGATCAAGCAGGCATTTAGTATTATATATGTCAGGAAAACAAGACATGGTTTCATGTCTAAGTTGTTAGTGTTAAGATAAATTACTTTCATATTTTTTTCTTTCTGATACTTTCTCCTTTTGTCTGCTTTAAACCCAAGTGTCTTTTTTTTTTTCACAGGCCTATTTTCGTACAGTAGAACTTGTTCAGGAGCCTATTTCTGGGTCACCAGGTCTCAGTTTCTACTTCAGAATCAATGACCGACCCATTTTCATGAAGGGCTCAAACTGGATACCAGCAGATTCTTTCCAGGACAGAGTGACCTATGACACGTAAGCCACCTTTGATGTCCTCTAGGGAGAAAGGATCATTTTATCTCCTCCTGATTCTCTACTGAATGATAGTATTAAAGGCTGGGACTTCATTCAAAGTCAGACACTAACTGTTGTAGTCCAGGGAGCAAAGACTTGGGGCTTAAATAATATTAATAGAATTGAGTGATATTCAAGGCGGCATTTAAGTTTTTATTGGCTGCAGGACTGCTGGCATTTTGGAATGTTTTAGAGATGTCCTCAGAATGTCTTATCATAGTGCCTGGGATGTGTTCATGTGCTCATTGGTACTCAGAAGCTGGGGACCTGGTACGGTATTTCAGCAATGTCCCAGCCCATGTAGTGCAGGGAGATGCAAGTGCATACCAGCCTCTTTTCCTCTTCCCATCTTGCTCCAGCTTCAGGCCCAAGAAATTGGGCATGAATCCCTTCAGGGTCATGGTATCTTTCTCCTCTTCCCTCTTTCTCACTATGCATTGTGAAACGTAGGTGGAAGGTACAAGTTTCTGAAGGTGTTTAGAAAAGGTTTGAGAGAATCTGAACTTGTGATTGATATTTAAAGTAAGCAGTAACTAAGGAGAGAAGAACTATGTGATTAATAAAATACAATATTTTTAAATCTGGTCCTGCAAATATTTCTGTAAAAGCACTTACTTGCATGTGCCACCCCCATCTGTTTTGTAAGTGGTAACAGGACCAAGGAACTTCTGTGCAGATATTGCTTTTTGAGACCTCCATGTGGACATGCACAAGTTTGGAAAGTATCAAAAAGGCCAGTTTCTGTTGGAGTTAAGTCTTGGATTGTGCTAGTGATTAACTTTTTTTTTTTTTTTTTTTTTTCAATTTGACAGATATTGGCTACTCTTGAAGTCTGCAGCAGATGCTAACATGAATGCACTCCGGGTCTGGGGAGGAGGAGTTTATGAGCAAGATGAATTTTATGATATTTGTGATGAGCTTGGAATAATGGTAAAAAAAAAAAAATAGAGGTCATGTATTTAAAAAAAAAAACTGTCAAGAAATTGTAAATACAGACTTCCTAAATGAACAAAGTTGGAGAATTTATATATTAATTCTGACTTATCTTTCCAAAGGATCTGATAGAGTAGAAACCTGAAAAGTCAGATCAAACTGGTTTTGTGTGTGTGTGGATTTTTTTTTCTCTGATTATATTTTGTTGGGGTTTGGGCAGTTGCTCATTATTTAGTCTGTTGAAACCAGCAGTGATGTTTTTGCAGTCTTTATATTAGAATCCCAGCTTGTATTTTACTCTTATAGCTAAGGCTGCAACTCTGTGCTCCTTGCTTCTTGCCACCACCCTTCCCTAACCAGAATCTCAACTTTGTCCCCTGGCTTTCTTCCCTGCTATCTTCCCTTGTATTTCTTATTCTTCCCGAAATTGGAGTTACAGACTTGTGCCTTTAACTCAATGTATCCTATTCCTTGTCAGACTAAAACTCTTAACTTTATATACAGTACCTCTCCCCCAGTTCTACATTTCACCAGTTTCACGATAGCTGTTTTTTTTTGTTTTGTTTTGGTTTTTTATTTAAACTTTCTAGAAAAACCATTTAACCTGGCCTGAGGCTAAGCGTGGAAGGCCTCACCCAAAGGGACGTTTTGAACATGCTCTAATTGAGTATAAATGTAGCTGTAAGGGGAACACCTGCTGGCTGCAAACACTGATGATTCTGGATGAGTACCTTTGAGTGAGCTTGGAGGCACATTTTAGTAAGTTTTGATGAAATAATGACTTGATGAGTGAAGGCCAAGTTGCACCTGCTGTTAAAATCCCAAGATGCATGTTTGATCTTACTATATAGCATAAAAACAGAAAACCAGTACATTGTGATTTTAACTAGGGAATCAGAAAATTGCTATCCTTCTGCAGTCTGTGCTTGGTGGGTGGAAAATAGATGTTGCATCCTTGGTGTAAAATGAATATTACATCCTTTTTTTTTCTCTTTTGGTCATCAGAATGAGTGCCCTGATTTTCAGGGCTTCTGAGTATTGGTAGTTCTTTTGGTTTTGACACTTGGTGTCTATGTACGCCACTTGCATCCATGCTTGTGCAGACCTTATTTAGCAGCCAAAACAGCACGAAGATGCTGAAAATTGGACCTTTAACATCTATGGCTTCCACCCTCCAGAATAGAGGCTGTTGGTTATGTTTTCTCTGATGACCTTGCAAAGGCATAAAAACACTTCCAAGTCGAATTGTGCTTAAGGGAAAACTTTGGTGATTTACTGAGGGAAATAGAGAAAGTGTTTCTTTTCATACAGAGAATTTTGCCTGGACACAGTGGCTGAAGGATTCTGAATAGTTCTTTAGTTCTTTTTTCCTGTTAGAGCTTTACATGTTGTGGAGTCATGGAAAAGCACTTTTTTACTACAAGCACACAATTGCATGAGGATCTGAGCTGGCTCTCTCCCTTATCTATGTGATGTAGTGTTCAGAGAAGTGCAGTCTGATGAGGAGGGCTCTCCTGTTTAGGTTCACGTGTTCCTCAGAGAGTTCTTTCCATTAATATTTGTAAGATAGCACTCTCTAAACTGTAAATTAAAAAAGTGGAACTTGTAAAGTAGTCTTATCCATTTCATTAGGCTGCTCCATTTTCTCTTTTTCTATTGCTTGAAAATTACAAATTAAAGAGATTACTGCTGAATCAAAAGTCTTGCTTTTCTGTGATTCTGTCTACTTGATCTTTCTTGACAAGAATGATCACTGCTGTTAGAATATCTAGTTTGTTTCTCTCCCAACCGGGTAAGGCAGGTTCTTTTAAACATTAGTTTACCAATTAACTATGGAAATATTTTACTAGGAAGTACACTCGGATTTCTGTTAAGTGTGTTCAATATTTTATCAGAAGCATTATTCCTTCTAATAAGTGTTTGAGATTTGTTAAACATGTAAGCAGTAAATACAAAACTGTTCGTTTCGGCTAAAGGAGTTCTTTTCCCATATTAATGTCTCAGCAGAGCAAGCATTCTAACTATTCTGTTGAAAGCTATTGAAATCCATCCTCCTGATAAATGTTCCTCTGACTGCTGAAGGCTGGCAAGGTCTGGTTCTTCAGGATAAGTGTTTGTTATTTCCAATACCTGGGAAAATCACTATGGAATGTGTACATGCTGAGGCCCACGGAGAATCTGATTTTTTTAGTGATACTTTTCAAGTATATTAAATTACATCTTTTGGTGTCATTCTTTTTAACACAAATAACTTCTGTCTGAACAAAGGATTGTGCATCCTGAAAATTGCATATTGTTGAAGTAGGAAGGATGATTTACTAACAGATCTTTATATTTTCTGTTCTCTCTAGATTTGGCAGGACTTTATGTTTGCATGTGCACTGTATCCAACTGATCAGAATTACTTGGAATCAGTGAGAGCAGAAGTTACTCATCAGGTATTTTGTCTGTGTGCATCTAAGAAGTGTTTCCCATTAGCTAGTTTTGATTAACTATAAGATTTAGGTTTGCAAAAATGTTTATTAGAAGGTATTTGTTAGTGTACGTTTAGGTAGGAGGCACAAAAACTTACCTTGCTAAATCCTCTTTAACTTACAGGAGTGATCAGCCAAGCAGAGATAGGGGCCTTTCTCATGTCCAAACTATTTCTTCTCAGGGATGTAGGGAACAGTGTGAATAAAAACACATGAACTGCCTGTGCTCTCGGAATTGTAATTCAAGTATTAATACAAGTATTTTCTTTAGAGGAAGTAATTCTGCTTGATTTCTGAAACTATGATGCATATTTCAGGTAAGGCGTTTGAAATCCCATCCGTCGATTATTTTGTGGAGTGGCAACAACGAAAATGAAGCAGCAATTGCAAGCAATTGGTTCTCCATACCTCATGCTGACAGAGAAGTCTATATCAGAGATTATGTGATGCTTTATGTGAAGAATATCCAGGAAATCGTTCTTGCTGTAAGTGATCTCAAGAAGCTAAGAGGCGATATGGTGTGGCAGAAGGTCTTAATGTTTGCTATTGGAGCAATTTGTGTTGTGGAGGTATTCTTTTATCCTTTTGGGAAAAGAAATGCAGCATATTATTGAGGAATTGCTCTAAACTTCCCAAGCTTGTTTAGAGAATTTTTAAAATTGAAGAGTAAGCCACAAAGCAGAATAAACCCTGAAAAATGACGTTGGTGTCTTTATTGTTCTCTGGTGTATAAGGAAGACCTGAAAATTTAGTGAATTCTGCTTTTCTTTCCCATTTTTCTCCTTCCACAAATGACTGAATGGAAAAACTTTTTACATGCTAAATAATTAACCTAGATGGTCAATTTTCTTTACCATGATTTTGTTGAAGGATACCTAAAGAAGGATCTAACAAGCTGTTTAATAGCAACTGTAGAATTTCATAATGGCAACATCTCAATGGTGTTTTCTTCCAGTTTTACAATAAAGTATTTGAGACAAGACTTAAATTGTGGGCGTGCAGACAGAAGCATGTGAATTCATGAAGAAGTCCACTATGATTTGGCACTATCCGCTTATGCAGTTTTTGTAGTTTTACCTCTCTTCCTGGAAGTATTTCAGTTCCTTCTGCAATGGAATTTACTTTTAACTTTTATTTGGATAGGTAGAGTGAAACTGATTTGAAAATCCCAATTTGGCATTGCATAGCTAGATAGGGACTAATGAACGTAAAGCTTGAACTGCAGGTGAGTGTTCAAGCATCCTTTCTAGCTGATAGCTGTGTGAAACGAGGAAATGTAAAGCTCATATTTTGTCCAATTAGAACTTATCTCTTTAGCAAGAAGATATGTGTTTTGTTAACCTAAAAACAACAGTGGCCTTTTCTCCACCTAGTATCACTTGTGCAACATGCCATTATTGCCTGTAGAATATGATAATATTCATCTAATCTCTCTCCTTTTCAGGATGAGATACATCTTATGTCCTGGGGCCTTTGACCAGAAGTTTCGTGGCACTAAGCCAGGCAATCAGTATGTAGGTGATAGACAGTGACATTACTGCTTGTTATTGCAGGTTACTGGCATTGTCAGAGTAGCTGTACCGTAAGAAATCTGTAATCCTGTTTCTTTCAGGAAAGGTAGAGCTTGGAGAAGCAATAAAAATGAGGCACCGTGTGGAAAGAACTGGCTAAGAAGGGTGCTGCTCTTGAGTATAGTAAATTCAAAGGGCTGATAGTTTGACTAGTATCTGCATTTTAAGATCCTATCTTTCATGTGTTGTTAATGTTTTGTTTTGTTTTGCAATTATGGTACACGTTCATCAGTAAAGTGGGTCTGTGTTTGGTCCCTTGGATTTGCTTGCAACTTAAAATAGCAATTAAGCAGTTTATTAAAGAAGGCCACTATTTTGAACTATTTATATAATCTAAAAATGCTGGTATGAGAACAGTTATGCATTCTAAATATTAATACTGTTTTAGAATCAAGATAATAAAGTGAAATATATATTTCAGTTATTTTAATATGTGTTTTAGTCGACTTTTTCGAACAAAGCTATTTGTAAAGGTGCACTGTGCCATTTCTATGATCACTCGCATAGGTTTGCTTACCAGTGCATGTGCAGCAAAGGGGAATATTCTGGCTGGATGTTGTTTCTATTTATCATTTACTTGTGCAGTGTTGCTGTTCAGAAGAGACCTTTCTTTAATTTGAACACAGAAATTAACTGTTTTTGCGGGCCAGAAAGAAACGTGCAGTGGCATTGTCTAAAGTCCTGTGTACTACAGAAGAAACATGTAACTACTGGCAGAACTGGACTATATCACTTAAACCTCCAAGTCTGATCTAAATCTTCAGAGAATCCAGTATATCCTATAGTAAATTATTTCAGTTGTTAATTACTCGTGTTTAAAAAAATATATTACAAAAAATGCTCAAGTGCCTTGCTGTATTGGAGCCAATTGCTTTAACTTGTGACTGTGACAGCTCAGGTCTCTGTCTTACCAACAGTAGGACGCTGAATGAATTATACCTGAGAAATATTCCTTCAGTGCTTTGCAGGATTCTGATAAAAGATTTAGTATACTAAGGAGGCTATAAATACAGGCAACTCTGATTTGAAATGTAACCCTTCATATAGTCTCATCTAACTTAACATGCAGAGCCAGCCAATATGACAACGTGCAACGCTATCACGCAGGCATTAGTAGCAAGACACTTCGGCCTTAATAGAGCTATATTCAGCTAAATTTAGCTAAATAGAGCTAAATAAATTAGAGCTGAAAAGAAAAGGAAAATACTACGACTTTGTCACTGCAGAAGTACAGCAGAAGTAATATTTTTTCATAGAGAAAAGAAGCCACAGTATTAATATTAATGATCCTTGAGTTTATTTTTCACGAGATACGCTTTAAATAGCATTCATTAAGAATTTAGAACCATAGAAAATAGAAAATCTCTTGATGTGAGGAGAGAATCCCTTAGAACAGCAGAGCAAGTGATATTATGCCCAGCTGTCCTCCGAGTACAGGAAAAAGAATGTAATTAAGCAGATGATGATGATGAATGTCAGGGTACAAAAAGAGAATGTTTTTTCAGGTGGTGACTCAGAACTTTGGCAAAGGCATGCTCCTCCCCTTCCCTCCTCCCTGCACCCCTTTTCAAAATGTAGTCTAGATACTCAGATGATAAAAAAAATCAATCTTCTTGGGGGGTTGCGATTTTATTGATTATTATTATTTTTTTAATTCTAGGAAGATAAGAGCCGTCCTTTTGTTGTATCCAGTCCCACAAATGGTTTGGAGTCAGTTAAAGAAGGTTGGATCTCCCAAAATCCTTATGATACCCACTATGGTGACACTCACTTCTATGACTATGACAATGACTGCTGGGACTGGACACATTATCCTAAAACCCGTTTTGCTTCAGAATATGGATTCCAGTCCTGGCCTTCCTTCAGTACACTGGAAAAGGTAAGGCTGGGTTTCCAAACTTTGCTGGAAGGGGGGAGATGGGGTAGGAGTGTGTTTTGCTGTATAGAGAGGAGAGCAGAGAGAACTACTTCCCTCTTTATTATCCAGTATATTTACTTTGATGTTGCAAGAGGAACCTATTTTAATACAATCAGTAATGTTTTATTATAGCTGTTGTTATTGGAACACTGGAGAACAGTGTTGCAACTTTCTTGTGAGTACCTATGTTTCAAATTCCTTCTTCCTTAACCAGTAAATGTCATTTTCTTTTGAGCTTCCTGGATGAGGAAGCTTGTATTGATGGAAACGTTAAAGCATTTACTGTTCAACCCTGCTTACTTAACATAATTCCAAATTTATTCTTTTTACACATGTCTTTCTCTTCTTTTGGATGCATACTAAAAAATACACAATGTTGTAACTCACGACAGTAGCGAGCAGGTGGTTGTGCTAGGTAAATGGGGCTGTATTATGAGACAAGTATAATAATATTTCTGTTTAATATATAAGTTGATAATGATTCCCTAACTTTGGTTTTCATGGACTGTGTCTAAGGGTAGAAATGAAAGAAATTCAACACATACTGAATAGTGCTAAATTCTAAAGTGCATTATTTTTTATCTTTCTGCCAATTTCTTAAGGGGATTTTTTTTCTCCCCAAATTTTGGTGCTTTATGCTCTACCTTATCTATCTAGTTGGAGCAGAGTTGTGTTCTTTGTCTGTCCAGTCAGAGATGAGTATCATGTTGAGATTCATGCATGGAATAATCCTTTCAATTTGCCACACAAAGTTTATTATCTTTTCCTAAGGGATAATCAGTACTTTCAGCCATATAAACAACAACAAAAAATTGCTCAATCAACCCAGCCAGAAGAGGAACATAGCATAGTTCATTTATGTGAGCTATGCCGGATAGTTATTTGCAGTTAAAAAACATTATTTCAGGATGATTTGTTTTCAGAGGCAGATTGCATGTATTCCTAGAGTCTTTAGCCCTATTAGCCTGTGAAATGTCTTATTCTGGAAGGAGTGCTAGCTCTTATTTTTCTAAGATATTTAATATGTAAGATTATATCTAAATTAGTTTGACTAGAAACTGTGATTCTTTTAGCTGAATCTAGTGCTGTTTTGATTTTTTCTAAGGCGTCCAAACAAACCTTCAACATTCCTTGGCCAAACTTAACCTTAGGACAAATAAGGGCTTGATGGAGTATAAGAGAAGGGTGGTCCTGACTGAAAACTCCAGTGCAGAAGGCACTACAGAAATATGTTACTGACTTTAATATTTTTGGATGATGGCAGCAGGCTGTAATGAATATATTTTCCTGAATATCCTGCTAGTTGCTTAATGGTACATTTTGTTTTTCCTTTCTAATCTTTTCAAAAGGTTTCCTCTGCAGAGGATTGGTCCTATACAAGCAATTTTTCTCTCCATCGACAGCACCATAAAAATGGCAATGATGAAATGATTCAACAGATTGAGTATCATTTCAAGCTTCCCCAGAGCGCAGATCCCGTTAAAAAATTCAAAGATCTGATTTACCTCACGCAGGTAACAGCAAAGTCTTCAATACTGAAGTAGATACTGCCCAGCAGTTAAAAGAGGGACTGTTCCTGTAAATAATGCAGTCGTATGGTAACTGTTTCTGCCTTGAGGAACTGGAGAATCTAATTTAAGATGGGACCAGCTAGCAGTCTTCTCGCTTCTTGGGGGTAGACTCCAATTTTCCTCGCAGAAGGGCTGGAATACTTCTCAGGGAAAACCCGCATTTCCTAGAAACCGGCCAAACTGGGAGCGTGTCTGACTGGCTGTGCGCTGCCCCAGTACCTGTCACTAGCTGTGCTCATGGAGTTGGCACGGGATGCGAGCATGGGATGGGCCTTCTTGGTGCACAGCTCTTCCTAGAGCTACTCTGTGTCATTCCTCTAGGCCGGGTATGTTTTACTTTTCCTGTGACCTTTTTGGGCTTATTGCTCTGTTTTTGCCACAAGGAGTACACTAACTTTTTAAAAGATAGCTTTCTTCACAGAGAACTTCATTCTCTAGAAAAGATTATTAGAAGGTTTCTTTTCTATTAAGGACTGAAATACTGCTGTTTTAGAGAATATGTTCTAGGTTTTTTGTTTTTTTTTTTTTTTGAAACAATAGATTATACCTTGCTCTTCATCTGAAACACTAACTTGCTTCATCCTTTATTGAAGGCAGGGATAAAAGCTGTGCTTCGAGGTCCTGACCTAAAAAGCTATGAGGGCTTTTGCAAGGTTAAGTCTGTCAAGGCTTCAAATCAAACAACAGTTTAAAGATCCTGAAATAAGGATAGCAGAAAAGGAGAGTAAATTTGGATCCAGTAGATAACCTGGAAGTGTTAACTTTACACTTTCTACTAGCTTAAAGAGTAACTTTTTCCCCTCATTTTGGGGCAAGCCTACTAGTATGCTTTCTGAAGATGCTAACTTCATTTTCTTTATTGCCCTTTTCATCTTGGGCACTGCTTCCGTGGCTTCTTGAGAACTTGGCCAGTGAAGGGTACTGGTGCTGTGAACCTGTGTTTTCTGCAAATGTATACATGAGATTTGAAAGTACGTGAAGGTAACTTTCTTTTTTTTTTTAACGTATTGTTCACCCAGGTGATGCAGGCCCAGTGTGTAAAGGCAGAAACCGAGTTCTATCGGTTCAGCCAGAGTGAGATAGTCAAAGGAGAAGGACACACAATGGGTGCGCTGTATTGGCAGCTCAACGACATCTGGCAGGCACCTTCATGGGCTTCTTTGGGTAAGTTCCGCAACAGTTGTGCGGTAGGATGCATGGTGTGTCAGGCTTGTTTATCTTTTTCGTCACTGGAAATACCAGAATAAGAAATAAGGCTCTACGGTCTCTTGGGGTAAACCTGTAAGCTTTGCATATGTTTCTATCCATTTTTAAAATTGCTTATAACTCATAATTTCTTTAAAATATATATTTTTTTATTTAAGTGGTATTCTCATTTTCCCTAAGGAAATAACTATCACTGCTTCCCAAAAAGTAGCTTTGTCTATCTTCAAGGATGTTAAAGATAGATCCTCAGTATGGGGTGAACTTTGAGCTGCCATTGCTTTATTATGTAGAACTTGATGTTCCTGAAACTGTGTGATGTGTTAGGCAGGATTTTCCAGAGAGATTTTGTATTTTTTGAGAATTCTAAAATAGACATTTCTAAGAATTATTTTTTTCCAAAAGAGCCTGTCCTAGAAATGCCTGATTGTATTTATTGGCTATGCTGAGCAGATGCATACGTGTGCCATGTCACCCTGGCTGAAAATAGAAAGAGGGCTAGAGGAGAGCTTATATGTTTAGTTACGCTTTCCATAATCCCAACGATTTTAATTTCTCCTGCCAACTTAAAATAATTATTTTACTTGCAAATAAATACTTTTACTCGCAATTAGCAGTAGTGCGTTGTCAAAATCCTGTGGAGCTCCAGTGCTATTCTGAGCAGGATGACAGTATCTGAAGGTGAGGTATCCAATGTGTTCAGGATCAGTGTGGAGAGATGGTAATCTCCAGAGTGTAAATCATCGTGTCCACAGCTATCTAGTAAGTGGGACGAGTTATGTTTCCTATGCTAAATTTAATTTTCATAAAACTTTGTATGACACTTCTCAGCCAACACAGGGTTCTTTCTCCTGGGAAGTTCCTTATAGCGAAAGACAAAATGATGAGCTTAGCTTTTTGCCTAACTTACTGAACAGCCAGTGTCAGGTGAGGTGAATCGCTATTTGTGAGTAGGTGATGCTGCTAATACACAAGCTAGCTAAGATGCACATGATAGCTTCATTTGGGCATATTCATTTTAGAACACCAAAATGGAGCCATTGGGCAAATGGAGATAAAATTTGTTTAGGGAATTAAAACTGGGGAAGTGGCCATGTTTTGTGTCTCCAGCGATTTGCCTGAAAGTCATTTGGAAATGGAGAAGCTGTTCTGTGGCAGAACTTGAGTAGTTTCTCATTTATTTGAGTGTTAGTTGTTTTTACATATTCTGTTTTCTAAAATATAGTAGGTATTAAACTTTTCACATATGAAGAAACATGAGGGAACTAGAAAAAGCTAATGGTTGGTTTGAAGTTCTGGATCTATCCCTGGGCCAAAATGCTTGACTTTGAGAGGCTTAGCCTTTTCCACCTTGCCCCTCTTTTCCTTTTTTTGCTGTTTGGGAAATGTTTGTCCATCTGCTGTTCCTTCCTTTTTTTTTTTTTTTCCCATTCATCCAAGCATAGAAAATACCATCAACAAAGTGAAACAAACTGCTAGAGATTAAAAGGCTGTTTTATTTTAGCCTTAAGATAGCGGTCCAGATCTAATGCTTCTGGACTTCACGGAGTTGTGTTAGGAAAAACAATATCTCCAGGTTTATTTTTATGATTCCAGTGATGATTGATGCTCTTAGGCTTTAAGTGCCTCAAAAGAAAATGATCATTGGAAAAATAACTCTTTGTAAAGTCAGGTGTACTGATAGATGAAGGAATTGTGAAGACCATAAAAGTCTTTTTAAGTACAGAGCTGATGTCACTGTAGGAAATACATCAGCTACTTGAATTATTCATAAGTTGTTGAAGTTAGTTTACAGAAAAGATGCTTAGCAGAGATACAGCTGTCCCTTTGTTTCATTTTATTCCCTCAGTGGAGTGAGGAAAGGTTTAATATTCATTTAATTAGGCAGCGTGGTAGATGGCTTTTTGAAATGCTAATAACTCAAATTAATGCAAAACTCCAGATAAATTATTTTTATTTGCACTTCAAAAACATGTTTCTGCATCTCGTTAGATGGCATAGTAGCATCACCGATGAACCCTTCTCTTATTTCAATCTCTTATTTCATAAATGGAGCCATGGAGGGGTTTACATAATTTCCCATTCGAAGCAGAAGCGTTTCTTTGAGACATGAGGAGGGAGAAGGTAGCATGTGTATCTTATTTTAACTTACCTTTATAATGCTTTCTTGGAATTGAATGGAAACACAGCACAGCATTCCTGTTTCCACTCTCAGTGCAGAACTAAACAGGTTTTACCACACCTGGGTGTTGCTCGTCAGTGCCTGGCTGCGGAGCCGCCTGTGCTGTGTCGACAGCTTCAGGGCCGTGCAGCACGTGTTGCTGCCAATGCTGTGCTGCACTTGGCAACTTACCACTCCCAGGGAAGTGTCACCTTGACGTGTCACCACTCGGTTGTCGTGAGGTTCCTCTGAGCAGATAACTTGCTTTTATTGCAGCTTCAATTTTTAGAGCCCCCCAGTGAGCTGAAACTATATTAGGGAGTATAATAGATTTGCATTCACGAGGCTGATGCGAGGAAAGGACTAGCAGCGTGTGTCTTAGATTATGCTTAATGGCGTGAAGCGGTTAATTTAAGATCCATCCTGGTGAGCAGAGCTGTTTGCTCTCGCTCCAGCTCCTGCTGTAGGAGGCTTCAGGGAGCAGTCGGCAGCCAGGGTCCTGGTGTCTCCTGACAAACCCATTTTGAGTTTCCTCCTCTGAAGTCTGGTATTGCACCACTGTGCATGTTATTATCAGGAAGAATTCGGGAAACTTTGGATTTCTTAGAGAATTCGTTTAAATGTTGGCAGAGGGGGAGGGAGAGGAGGAAGAAACCATCCCAAAGTTGTTTTAAATAACTTGACTGTTGCCTGTGGGCATGCATGCCTGAAACAGGTAAGTTTAAACTCAGAAATTTCTCACGATAGCTACTCCATCTCCTGATTTTTTACTTCTATGAGAAGTGGCAGGAGGGAAATGTTTCATGTGTAGCTTGCTTGTTTTTAAATCGGGAAATGTGGCTCTGTTTTTGAGGAAATCAAGGCAAGAGTTAAGCTGGAAAATGTGTTCTTCAGAATGGCTGGCTGTAGGCTTTGGGGAAGGGAAATAGCAACCTTTTTAAGAAAAGCTTGATGCTATGTAAGACGACTACTGGTCGTTGCAACCATCTCCAAGCAATAGCTGAAGAAGTTGAATCCTACAAAGGGGTTTTGAAACAGCAAAAAAAAAAAAGGAAGTTCTAAGTGTGTGGTTTGTTGGCTTTTGTTTGTTTGGATTTTCTCCCCTCAGAGAAATATGCTGTCAAATTTATTCCCTTATTCTGAACTATTTTCCCCACCTCACAAGCTTTTAGGGAGCGCTCTCTTTGCCTTCAAGATAGACTTCTGCCTTTCCCTCCAGTATGACTACAATGTGACTGCGTAATCCGTTCTGAAATGAAGGCCTAACAAAGAATGAGGATAGGGCCCATTAGCAGAGAAATGGCACTTTATATTAAACAAAGTAACAGAAACTACTGCGATTGTATTATTCGTTTTCATATTTAAGGCTAGATTTTTATCATGTAAATTAAGACTGAGGCAAAAATTCTTGGCAGCAGGCCCTGAAACGTCAGGCTGTGCTGGGTGGCTAGCCTGAGCCCGCGGGCAAGCAGGGAAGAGCCTCTCCAGCTCCGCTGGCCAAAATTCCTGAGAGGCTTGTGGCAATGCGGAGGGCTCCGGGATACTCATCCCCTCCCGGGGCCCGAGGTTAGGCACGGTGCAGTTTCTCAGATGAAGCCCTTTTATTTTCTAGATCACATGCTTCCCTGTGACTTGCTCTGCTTCAATAAGCCATGCCCAATGCAAATCTCTTGTCTTCTCAAGTTTCAAGGCTCTGACAAGCAATTTGTTAGCGCTTCCTGGCATTGGAGCTGTTGTCCTTCAGAGCACCAGTGCTTTCCACCAGCAGTTGTCCCTGGGGTGTAAGCACTCTGCTCGTGCTGCACGGCAGCAACGTAACAGCCAGGCTCCTCAGCGTGGCAAACGAGCTGTATCCTGAAGAAACTCAGCAAGCTCCCCTGAACAATTCTTTCAGGTTTCATCTCTTCCTTTTACCATGGTGCAGTTAACTTGAACGCCTGTGTTGTCCTTTGGCAGTGGCGTGACCTTGTGACCCAGCTGAACCTTGTAGGAACGCTTGCAGGCAGACAGGAGCTTTGCTTGTCTGTTCTCCAAGCTAGCCCGTCGTGAGCTTGCTGAGAACGAGGAGCTGTGTGGGGTGTGACAGGCGCCTGTGCCCCCCGCTCCCCCTGGCTCGCTCTGCTGTGCGGGGTGCTGAGGGCATGTTCAGCTCTGCCTGAGAAAGCCGCAGACATTCCCCGAGAGACCTGCCTCGCCCCGGGGAAGCTGTGGATAGTGAGGTATTTGAAAAGTCCTAAGAGCTTTGTCCAAATGCCAAAACACAGGTGAGGTAATTGGTTACAGCAAAAGCACCTTACTGGAAATACTTTCCAGCATCGCTGAACTTTAAACCTGTCGTGAAAAACAAAGAGCCAGAAACAAGTGTGTAACAGGAAGTATGAGTTTTGTTTCCTTATGAGATTATGCTTATAAATTTGCTACTTCTCTTTAGTGCTGTTTCATTGGTTAGATAATGGTAGAGCAAAGCCAGAGTTAAAATGATGGTGGTGAGTCCTGGGTAGAAATTGAATGGAGGACAAAAGAGAAACTGTTTCTCTTCCAAAAGGCTTGTGTTGTAGTATCACACTGACAAAATTGCATCCTTGGGAGAGGAGATAAGTTTGCATGGCTTTTCTGGTTTGCAAATGGCAGACTATCAAAATACTAAAAGTAACTTGGTACACCTTTTCCTCAAATAGATAAAATGAGCTGTCTGGCATCTATTTACAGCATGTATTTAAGTCTCATGCACTAAGTGTAGTCTCCACAACTTTGCAAATCCATTTTACCAACTTTAGAGCTGTCCTTGGTTTGAGGACTTGATTTGGGCTTCATTGCTATGGATGTCCTTCCTAAGGAAGAATTGAAAGAGGAGGACTGAGAAGAAGGGAAGTGGGATTATTCAGATTAACAGAGTCTATTTCTTTTCAGTGGCGGCAGTGCGTTTCTTCAACAGGAGGGCAGGGTGGACACTGTGCTGCTTTAGGAGCATCTGAATGCTCAGGAAGGGACCATCTAACAAAGTAGTCTTGGATTCACTCTAGATCTTTCTCCCTTTTATCCCTGATCAGAGTATGGTGGTAAGTGGAAACTGCTCCATTACTTTGCCCAGAACTTTTTTGCGCCCCTGCTGCCTGTGGCTTATGAGGATAGAGACGTGTTGTGCATCTATGGCATCTCAGATCTTCACACAGACCATCAGCTGATGCTCAGGGTAAGTGACCCCTTCCTTGCCACCCCTCTGTCCCTTTGCTCATGATGTTGGCACAGATGTGAGAAGCTGCAATAAGCCCCTGTTCATGTGGGCATGATCCCGTAAGTCCGTGCCCACACCTAAACACAGAGAGATGCAGCTGTTGTCCTTAGTGCTCTTAGGGGCAGCACTCTTCTTACTGCTGTGATAGTGCATGCTGCTTCCCGGAGTCGGGAATCGGCTGTGTTGCCGGTAGATATAACTGAGGTCAGTAGTTCTGCTCAGGTCTTACAGGGGGTTGTGACTAAATAAAGTTTGAAAAATGGTGTATCACTACTTAGCCTATCTGTGGGCTGGGTGTTAGAACTAGATTAATTGACTAAAGTGGGAAAAAAAAAATGCACCTTTTCTTGCCAGCACTGAATCTACACTGCTTTAGGGAAAAAAAGAACCAGATTGCTTTGTGAAATCTCAACTTCGTGAAATACCAGCTAAGCGAACTCTTAATTATAAGGTAACCTATGCAGTGTTGCCATTCCACTATTCATGGCTCAACTGTTTTCTGTAGAAATGGTGCTGTGGTAGCACCCTTAGTAGTAGGATTAGTAGTAGGAGTTGGGGGACAGTCTTTGAGTTACTGAATTTTACGTTGCAGTGTCACTTTTAAAGCAGTGTTTGGGTTACTGAGTTATCCAGTCCTGCTTTTCAGTCTTTTAAGTTTTGCTAACATGCCCCAAATGAATTCAAGAGCAGTTTTCTATTTACAAGAAACAATTATTGACATAAAGGATGTGGAAAGGCTGTTGGGGATGGAAGAATAAGCCTGAGGAAAGGGAATGACCTGCTGGTCAGTTCAGAACCAGGCGTTTGGGTGTCCCAGCTGCCATTTGATGAATCTGAGAGGCTGTGGTGAATCCTCAGGTTTGTAAGGTTAGTGGTTCTTAAGGAATCCCCTCTGGCTCTTGTTCTGGAGAGGTGTGGGCAGTTGACAACTCCAGTATGGAAAAACGCTGCCATTTCTGGATAGCCAGTTGTCAGAGTAGGACTGTGCTTAATGAAATTGCTTATTTCTGGTCTGAATTATTAGTCGTGGGCTTAAATTCAGACTTTCTGTTAACGTCAAAGAAGCTGTGGCAGTAGGGCGGTTCCAAAGAATATTTAGCAGGTCATGTAAAATAGGAACTTAAATGTTTCAAGAAAATCCATTGTTTGACTAATTGGGGGAGGGAAGAGCCCATAAAGGCTAATGCCTAGTTACATTTCGTTGCACGGAACTTAAATGTTTCAAGAAAATCCATTATTTGACTAACTGGGGGAGGGAAGAGCCCAAAAAGGCTAATGCCTTTTTCTAGTTACATTTCGTTGCACACCTGTCACACAGGGACTGGCAACCCCATCCTCTCCAGGAGCATGGAAAGAACAAAAGGCTTTTGAGGTTGGGGAGAGCAACAGATCCAGACTGTTTTAGACAGATTTGTTTTTAGGTTTATTCAACAACCTAATTATTAATCAATATTGATCGTTTCAGTCTTTGCAGAGTCTCTTGCTATTAGAGGTGGAAATCGGCTGGTACTAGCAGGAGAGCATCTCTTGCAATGAGTAACTGGACTGAGCACTAGGATGCTGGGTTGTTTTCACAGATAAACTTTTTCATTTGGCATCTCTGTGCCCTCTCAACCCTCTTGGCAGGTCACTGTGCATGCGTGGAGTTCCCTGGAGCCGGCGTGCACCCTCGTCAAGGACAACGTGACCGTGAAAGCGCAGAGCGCTCGTGCCATCTACAAGGAGCCCGTAAGCGACCTGCTGCGGAGGTGCGGGAACTGCACCAGGGAAAGCTGTGTTGTCACCTTCCACCTCGTGGGCCAAGCAGGGCTCCGCAGTCCCACGAACCATCACTTCCTGTCGTCACTAAAGGATGCTGTAGGATTGGAAAAGGCTCAGCTTAGTGTGAGTATCAGTGTTGAGTTTTGCTAATCTGGCCATTTTTAGTTGTTTGGCTGCTGCACAGTGTCCAGTGTCACTGATATTTTGTCTCAGTAGCTGTAGCAGTTCTAACCTCTTCTAACCTCACAGAGAGATCAAAATGTTTTTTGTTTGTGTGTGTCCATATCCAGATATCTCTTTCCTTTCTTGTTTTTCTTTAATAATGAAGTCTATGTTTCATTTGGTTCACTGGTAAAGCCTGACAGCCTTCTGAGCAGGCAAAAAGACTGTGACAGTGTAGTGTAGTATTGTCACCTCTTTGCTTTTCCGTGGGTAACTCCCACACCTAGAAAGTGCTGTGTGCATGTGTGTGTGTGTCTGTGTGCATGTTTAAGCCTCATATTTTGGCCTGTAAATCTTAGGCTGAGGTTTTTTATAAGTGGATGATGGCTAAGCAGGACAGGGACCTGTGCATGCCCACATTTAGCATCCAAACTGCAGCTCTGCTCTTCAGAGCTAAACTAAGCAATGGAGAAATAAGAGTCTTTAATCTCTTTGAATCTGGACCTGCTTAATTGCTTTACAAGAGAAAAAAAATAGGACCGTATTTTCCTCTTATCTGTTTCCCAGCAGCACAGCCTGCCTCCAGAGTATACAAAGGAGAGAAGTCAGCCTGTTTTTATTTTTTCTTTTTTTTTTTAGCTGGTGGCACAATCTGGAGTCTGAGTCATGCTGTTTTTTTTGGAGATGACATCACCAATAATGAAAGCTCTGTAACTGGAGCATCGTTAGGAAATGTTACTTTTCTCATGGCCATGTTATCTCTTCAGGATTAACTACCAAGGAGAGCTAGGAAGGATATAATGAAAAGCAGTTATTTTAAGAAAGTATGGAGCTGTGATTTAAAAAAAAAATGTATATGAATTCTGTTTTGCAGGAAGCTGGTGCTACTATGTGTAGTTACTAACAATTTAGGCTTTCAAATATGGTATTAATCAAAGCACTACTCTTCATAGCATTGCTTTTTAAAACCATGAAAACTTTCGCGTTTCTTCAGAAAACACAAGTGCCTGTGCCTTTTTATCAAGAATTAAGTGTTGATAATCTTGTAAGCAAGGCACATTTTCTGCACTTTAATAATTAAGGCAGACATAATTTGTCTGCCTTTTTTATTTATAGTTCATTGGTATTGGAAATGATAAAGAAAAGTATTTTGTGATAATCAATGTCTGCCTATTTTGTATAATTCTCATATATTCATCCTGTTGGTTTTGCCTTTTGTTCCAAAAAACACTTCTATAAGAGAATTAGGAGAAGAAAACAATTTTGATCAAATGTTGCTATTTACAGTCTGTTTTACAGACATGCAGCTCTTGCTCAGTTTGTTCTTGCTGCATGTATATGCTTGAGATATAAATACAGATTATATAGATATATATCTATATGTATTATTTTGTTTGTCTTCCAGGCCAGTATATCCCAAAAAGACAGCATTTATATATTTGATCTGCGGACCACTGCAGTTGCTCCTTTTGTTTTTCTGGATGTGGGGAGTATAAAAGGCAGGTTTAACGAGAACGGGTTTCTCATGACCGAGAAGAGGAAAGTGGTCGTGTTCCACCCTTGGGAGCCCACCACTGTTGAACAACTAGAACAAGCTCTGAGCTTGATCTCTCTGACAGACATCGTCTGAGGACACTTCTGTGCCTTCTACACAAGGAGTGAAGTAGTCACATTCTTCTGCATTTTCCCTCCTCTTGAAAGTCTGTGTGATGAAAGAGATGAGCTGACTGGAGAATGTATTGCCCATTCCTGTCATGTGTGAATTTTAACTGCTCTTTCAATGTAAAGATTTCAACAACAAAGCTTACCTGTGTTATATGCGATGCACTGAAAGTAAAGCTTTCTTGGGTAACTGGAAAAATATATCCCAGATATAAATTGGGAGGAGTGGGTTGCTGTAAGAGAGTTAGTGCGAGTCCTCCCGTTCCCTTTGGATTTTTCCGATTACTGGGTTGTGGATTCATCCTGACTGAGGCTGCACAAATGTGCAGCCCCAGACCACTGGTTTGAGCTGTCTGCACCCGGATCCAGAGATCCCAGTCCTGCTTCCCTCCCATGTGCAGCTGCTTCTCCATGAAGTATCCCAGCTGGCTCCCACAGGGCAGGTACTCTAAGCAGACCCAAACCTGGACTGCTCACTCAGGTATCAGGTAGGTCCCTTCTACTTTCCAGAAGGGGAATGAGTATGAGACTTGTTTTTTTTTTTTTCCTGCTTTTTTTCATGTAACACAGAGAAAAAGCCTTTGAGAGCTCTGCACTTAGCTCACTTAGCTCTGCTCCTAGAGAGCTGCAGCCACAGCCCCAAGCCCATTGGTGCTGTTGAAATGTTTAGCTGTGAGTCTTGAGGCTCCTGCCCCTCAGGAAGGTAGAGGCTGGAAGCGCAGGTGAGCAGGCAGGCCCCTGACAGCTGTTCAACTTCAGACTTGTTTTCAGATCCATTTTGAAACATGCCTGGTGTTTTGCTGGGGGTTCCATACGGAACATGTTGCAGTTTTCAGGAGAGCGTGAGGAGGAGCCAGCTCCTCAAGCAAGAGACGCGGGAACTGGCTGTGCTGCTGCTGCCCATATCGCTGGAGCGTCCATGTGGAGAGCGGCCCCTCCGGTGAGCTGGAGACCTTTGATGTGAGAGCTGCCCCACTGCAGTGACAGCAGCTTGAGTGGGCAAACTGCTGGGCATGTTGGCCGGTGCTCAGTGACTTGCAGAGCTTTCTGAATGGGTCATTAGCTCAAAAATGAAATACGCCTGAGCAAGAGGAAAAGCTTGAAGTAGAAATGCTAAATGCAAGCTGCTTACAAATGCTTTAGTTAGTGGCCAAAGTAACTAATCGCTGTTGCCCAAGTGGGCTTTTTTGGCGCTAATATTTGTCCTAGTTAAATCATGAGAGTAATCAAAATATGCATGCATGTGTACCAGTAATTATATGCCACATATGGAAGTGATAGCAGTAAGATTTAACAGTTAGAAAATGCAGATACTGATAAAGAAAGTTAAAAGTTACCAGAGTGACATCCTGGGCCAGCAAAGTAAGAAGTGTGAAGTTCTTTCAGTGTCCTGCAATGACGTTGAAACAAAGCAGCAATAGATCCAATATAAGGTAAGGATGGGGAAAAAAAATATGCAGAACATCTGGAATAACTATACTTAATATTACTGCTGCTTTAGGAAAAAGGCAGGTTGATTTCTTTTGTCTAAATTGATACATAAATGTCTCCTCCAGCAATATCTGGCTAGAATTTCAAAATGGCAATTAATAATGTTTATTAATAAAGCCCTTTTTTATCCTCTTGAGGCACAAGTAAAGTAACCCAGTAAATTCAATGTTTAAGAACTGTTCCAGTGAAGCAACAGAGTTACATAACTCATCTTCCCAATCTATTTTATAGAGGATATTTATTTAGTCTCCCTGTTTGCATTACTGGGAATATTTTTAAATTAATATTGTTCCAATTCTCAATCAAGAAAGTGGCCAAGGCCTCTTTTGTTAAAGAGACTGTACTGGAGTCACTGCAGCCAGCTAGCGAGGCGAGAAGACAGACCGTGATGTCTCAAGCACGTGAATACAGGCGGCCTTGGACAGCTCTCCCACTGTTCGTTGCGTGATCAATAACCTGATGAGTGGCTGTTGTGTAGCATTTGGTCACGAAATGCTCAGGGAACTACAGACCCAGATGGTTTCTCTTTGTTTAAAAGCACTTATACCACTGTCCATCCTGCTTCTCTGGAAGTAATTTGGGAATTCAGCTAGATATAAAATATTACTTCAAGTTTTTTTTTTTTTTTTTAATTGATGAGATTTAATTAATTGCAGGAAATACTGCGTATTTTTGCATATGGCCTGAATGGCTCCAACACTAACAATTCCTGTCCCCTGCAGAAGCTGCGCCGCAGCTCCCGCGGGCTGAGGTGAGCTCAGAGCAGCGCTCCACCAAAGCTCCAGCCGTGGTCAGGAAAGCGGCTGCAGGCAGGGGACAGCGGCCAGACCCTGCGCGCAGCGTCACGGAGCCCAAGACCTGCTCTGCAGTCTGGGTAAGTGCAATGTCTGTAGCTGTTACAGTCGTGGAACAAAGGAAACGCTGCTCAGGAGCACAGTTAGGGAGGAGCTTTTAGATGTCCTCACCACAACGCAGCTCGTCACAGTTTTGCTGACATGCTAAGTTATTTGATTTCAGTGGAATTGATTATCTGCTGCTGCAGTTATGAGAGAACTAAGCGAGAACACAAATCAGAGGCTTTGGCTCCAATGTGGGGAAAAAGCACAGCTGCTCACTGATGCTCCCAGCTTCCTCCTGTAACAGATATCTAAGCTGTAACACAAGTTGCTTGCAACCTGTCCTTTATCTTAGTACTGGGAACTAAACATAATTTTGCATTAGTTCCTAAAACTGAAATAATAAATTTTTAGTAGCTCTATTTGAAAAATAAGTAAGAATGGCAGCAAATGCAGACAAGGGAATTGTATTTTGGATTTTTTATTATAAAAGTAAAATAAAAATAAGCATTTTAAAAAGCACACTTTCTTTAAAAAAAGAAACTGATATAAAAACTATTTACAAATACGCAAATGCTAAACTTGGAAGAAAATTTCGAATAGGAGGCATCAAAGTTAAGTTTAAATACATTAATTGAAATATACAAGATTCTTTTTTTAAGATTGTCTTTTACATTTCAGAGTAGTCATTATTGTGATTAAAGTCATGATTTTTCCTTGCCAGCTATTCTATGAGCTTTTATTGTGAAATGGTACAGGAATGGTGAGGGGATAAACTAGAGACTGAATCCATTGATTGCTCTATGTGCCTTACCTCTTTTTAAGTGAGTTGGCATCATGCCTTAATAAGGATAAGGAGTGACTTTCATCTAAAAGGGGAAATGCTCACACACCAGGAGCGCTCAGTCAGCCAGTCGCAGTGTCCTGTGCTGGGCATCGCGGTGGCTGTGCCACCCTGGGGATGGTACAGGGTGTGTAAATAGACAAAGTTAAATGTACTTGAGGAAGTAAGCGATGGTTACGTGTCACATGCTGAAGTCACAGTTGTTTCAGGTGTGTGTGGTTCCTCAGTGTGGTTTTGGCTGTGAAGTGACTTACCCTGTTCAGTGGGAACAATGTGTTAAATGTCACGTTTGTTCCTGTAATTGCATTTTGCTAACTAGCTATATTTTACTTTGCACTGAACTTTCATGTCCATAGCCCAGGGTCATTTTGCTAAGTGTTATCGATGACTTGCTGTTCAGAGACTCGGAATAAGTGAAGCTCAGCTTGCGGAAGGATGTCTCCACACCACTATCGCACACGCTTTCGTTGTCTTGAAATTTATTGTTACAAAGTTCACCTGAAAGAGAGAAGAAGGAAAAATGCTACAATTTTGTTCATTTCGGTGGGTAGGGAAACTCCAATTGTAATTCTTTGCAATGGAAAAGTGCTGAATGGTTTCGGCTGGCCAAGTGAGGTGATCTGTTGTCCTGCTGTCTGCCATCGCCTGCTGTCACAGCTGGTCAAGGCTGGATGGGATGAGAAGCCCAGTGCTCTGCTGGAGGCGGCGCTGTCGCCGCACACCAGCTTGGGATGTGGTAGGAGTGAGGTTGTAGCAGGGTTCTCTGTACCTCATGTGCATGGACCCTAATGCAAGCGTACAGCTCCCGGATGAGGCCCCTAAACCTCCCCTGTGCTATTTCACTTAGAGATTTCTTCTTGAGATAAATACTTGAATCATTTTTATCTAGTTAAAGTGAGCTTGAAATAGGTGGAGTTCAGTAGCAGCTGCCACCTGTGCAAGATGCGCAATGAGTGCCTGAGGGCAAGAGAACTGTATGCGACGTGAAGGTATGGGGAGGGCTCAGTGCTGGTGAAACACGAGCCAGGATATGATGATGGCGTTCAAGATTTTGTTCTTTTGTAGACAGCCACGTAAAAATAACATGTGATACAGTCCGTTCAGGTTCAAAGCAGCAGAACTTCTTCTATCCCTTCAATATTATTCTAAAGACACTTATCCTTAACACCTATCCTAGCTTTAGGAGTTCGTATCAGTAAATGGTAGGTGACTGGTTTTAGAAAATATATATTTAATACTTTAATTCAGGACTACTGATTTTACTGCTTCTTACTTCTTCTCTTTTCTAGGCCCAGCAAATGGGGAAGTCTTGCTGCAGTGCAGCATTTCTGGAAGTGGGAAGCAGCTCAGGCAGTGTTTGGGTAAGCAACTGGAAAATCTATTGGCAGTCCAAGAAAGAACAGAAAAGTTTTTTAGGCTCCTGTCCTGCTGTCAGTCTTACCTGTCTGTCCTTTAGGTGAGGAGGGTGATAATGGTGAGGGAAGAGCTTCTGTGGCGCCATCCTCCCGAGGAGACTGGCGCAGTGAGGTGGGTAGTGCTTCCTGAATGACTTCAATGGCTTCTGTGTGCCCCATCTGTCTCAGAGCAGCCATCAGCTCTTGAATTGTACCACCGGACACCTGTGGTACGTGAGAAGACAAGGCAAGATGTCACCACAGGTAGGCCTGCTGAAAGTGAAGGGCATGCACTGTCTCGCCAGGCACGAGCACAGCCCTCTCAGGCTGGCTAAGGGCACGTTACCTCATAGTTATCTAGCAGAGTTTTTGATGGGGAAGGGCTTAGCCGGAAGGCGTTGTTGAGGATGCCAAGACCCAGTTTCTGCGCGAGGGTAGACCAGTTTCTGCTTGGATCAGGTGCTTCTAGCAGTTTGTAAAGCTGCATCTTGGAGCTCTCGCTCAGCTCTCTCATATGCCCTAGGGACCAGAGAAGGAGGTTAGTTGATTATTTACACAAATCATGCACCAGTTCATCCCAAAGCAGAAACAAAGCCATGTGAGAGAGGTACCAACTTTAGTGCCCATCAATAACTGTGTTTACTATTACGTAACTGTAGGAGTAAAAACTCCGTTGGGTCTCTGTGACCGACCTCTGAACAGCAGCGTGGTTGTTTCAGGAATCTGGGTGGGCTTCCTTTCCCCTCCCCCTTCATGATTTCAGTTACAAGCTTAGTGCAGAGCAACAGCTTCCTTGAAGGTACACTTTGAATACTCCGCTGTTAAGTATGACAGGAATTTTGCCTGATCTTCTTTATAGATGTTACCTTGAATCAGCAAGTCCTCTGAAACCGCTGCTGGCTCATAGGGTTTGCCATTTAATATGTCATACACCTTAAAAAAAAAAAAAAAAAGTAAAAATTTTATTTAAGAAGCCTGGTTTTTGTTTATTATTGTGAGGCATCTTAGTGTTGTCTAAATATCTATTGTCATCTGTAAATTTCTGTCCCAGAAATACTGCAGACGACTTGTGCAAAGCTTGAGGGGGAAACCTTGTGAATATCATCTCCCCTGCCCGTGAGCAACGATCTGGCAAGTGCTGTTGGGTTTTCAAGGTATGGAGGAGGTCTTTGCAGTAATTAAAATCTGGCTAAGCAGGCACTATCTGCCTGCAACAAGTAATTTAAAAGAGCCATGGTTATGCTTTAGTGCCTGTGCCAAAGCATCTAATCCTGAAGAACATGCAGCAAAGAAACCTGCTGCAAGAGTCTCAGCCTGAATATGAGCCTTGAAGTACATGCCAGCCAGTCAGCTAAATACTTTCCCCTCTTGAAGACTCTAGCACAACTCACTCAAGAAGTGCCTGGTTATTCCTGTCCTAGTATAAGCATTGTGTTCGATAGAAATTTCTGCCACTGCTGTTTCATGGATTTTGGTAAATTCCTTAATTTATTTTTTGATAGCATTTTAGAAGCTCTGGCAAACTTGTCACCACTGAAATAACTACGGGTCATGAAACAAGTTTGGTGAGAACTTAAGTGTTACTTGGTATTCAAAAAAATAGGAGAAAAGATCTAGACGCCTTACCTCACAGTTGGCTGCCATATCCAGTGGTGTCGTTCCAGGCACAATTCCTTCATCATCATCTTTTACATCCTCTAGATCAAACAACGGCTCAAAATTCTGAATATGAGGATTTGCACCTGGAAAACGAGCATTAAAAAAATTCCCCCAAAAGGCTTTAGCTTGAATTTTTTGGCATCATTTAAAATATACATTCTTAATTTTAAATAGCAAATCTTTTACTAACATTTAAGCTAGGCTTTTATATTAACTTACTTAATGAATAGATTTTTTTTTGCCTTTGTAACAACTACAGTTGAAGTGCTGTCATGTCCCTGCATACCACTACTGTTTCCACTCTACAGACGGACACACGGAAAGCAGAGTTTTAAGGACCAAGGAAAGAACGACGCTTACATATAAGCTGGCATTCAGTCCTGTTCTTGGCTCAGACAGAGCATGTGTGATGAAGTGATGGGGTGCTGCTGCTCTTCTTTAGTGTCAGACAAAGCATGAGTATTGTTTACAAAGCACCCCTCTGAGCAATGGGTGGCTTGGCTTTCTCTTTTAAAAATGCAGAAACAGATATAATGCATCTAAACAGACTTGGAAAGAATGTTGCAATAAATACTCAAAACTTTTCCTGCTGCTACAGTGGAATGAATAGGAGATACTAAGAAGCTCATATTTCACTAATATTTTTATTTGTTTTTAAAGTATTCCAACAATTCTCAACGGTGTAAGAAGGTCTCTGCTTCTTTAGATGCAAGAATTTATAAAGGAAATATTTAGACTTCTAAATAACTGCTTGAGAGATTTTTTTCTTGCTTAATACAATTTGTTTCATATCCATTAGATGGTGCTAGAGAGGCACAGCCTCTGAAAGTGAGACCTCTGACTAGAAATAAACCTTCATGCTTTTAACATCTGCTTTTTTTTCTTTTTGTGTGTTAAGTTCACTAGGATGTTCCTTTCTATGCACAACCTTCTAGTCTGAATTTACACTGTAAAATCCAACTCCCATGTAATCCATATTTTCATACCTGCTGCTTTCAGAAGTGCTGCCAGTTTTGTAGAGCCCCTTCCAGCCGCTATGTGCAGAGGAGTTGTTCCATCATATGTAGTGCTGTCCACATCTGCATCGCCCTACGTTTTTATTGAAAAGGAGAGAGCTGGTTGCATATACAGGGTGGCTGGGGAGACTTACACTGCATGAACACTGCTATCCTGTGCAGATGCGCCCCCTTCCCTGCCTGTGCGCACAATACTGGTCATCACTGCCATGAAGGGAAGGGAGTACAAAGTAACAACTGTCTGCAAGCAGGAACACCTCGTGCTTTTGGGCTCCACTGCAACAGCAGGAACCATAGCCTAAAAGACCTGCTGCTGCAATTAGGGGCCTGCAGAACCAAGCACCCCAGGATGAGGGTGGACGGAGATGAGACAGGGATGTCTAGGTGGCCCCAGCTCTCGCCCTGGGCATATCTGTGCACACATCCCACGTGCCAGCCCTAAGGCCTGTCACTTGCACGTGCGCAGGGCCACTGGCCACTGGCACTACTCTGTGCAAGTTACACAGGACACATGCAGTCAGGCACGGGTCATAAACTGCAAATTCCTCAACCTCTGCCTAAGGTTCCCTAGCAGTGCTGAACAAGTCATAACGAGCAGCACGAGCAATAGTTTTGCCCTGGTACCCATTTAAGCAACCAAGTCAATCAACAGGGAAAATAAAAAAGGCCCTAGCTTCTGCTACACTTAATCACTTCAGAATTTTAAAGCCTATTACGTGAAATGACCCGAATAAAAAGAAATTCTGCCCTTACCTCAAGCAAAAGGCAGCCTGCCACAGGGATGTTCTCTTGTTCAACAGCCAAATGCAAAGCAGTACGTCCAGATTTCTGTTCCTGAGCATTGACATTAACTCCAGCAGCAATCAGCTGTCTGAGACAGGACACGCTATTTGCCATCACCACCATGTGAATTGCACTGAGACCTACAGTAAAACAAAACCCACCCATCGTGTGCATTAGTATTTGAAAAAGTCAGAAATTTCAGAGTAAGAAGGTTTTTTTGAGTAACCATATCTATAACTGTGTAAAAGGACAGACAGTTACTGCAGTTATCTAAGCACAAGTAATTTATTTTGTCTGGCTGTTCAGTAAAAACATGGTATTAATAAAGATGCTCTTTGCGCCTAAATTGGGACAAGTTGTGTTGTTGTGGCGAATCAAAGCCAGGCATGGTGGAAACTAGAGAGTACATCTAGACACTCTCTTTGCCCCAAAGAAGGATTAGCCTTAAAAAAAACTGCATTCTAGCACTGAACAATCACATACCCCACGCTGGCCCCTCTTGCTACTCAACAATCTCTTCTAGAAATATTCTAAGGCATAAGGTGTATGTTTTAGTGCCATCTTCCTGTAAGGTCACACTGTCCTTTCTACCTCAGATTACCCTCACCAGCTCAAAAATAAGTCTTATACTTGATGGAGAGGGAGGTCGGGGGGGGGTCAGGGAGGGAGCGGGGGGAAGCTCTAAGGAACTTAGCATGGGGTTTTGAATCACATATTAAAATATTAAATTCAAATGACTCCTGCCCTTGAGAAGTAGCAGAATTAGAATTTCATAGTTATTTTGCATAGTGACAAATTACCAGATGTGAAACCTGACACTGGTCCAAGAAATTATTTTTGAGGGGATTTCATTCTCTAGAGAGGAAGAAACATTTTCTTCTGAGGGGATTTTTTTTTTTTTTTTTTAAGCAGTGGTGGTATAAGGCCTCTGAGGAGGAACACAGTCAGTGCTTGAAATTGTGGCACTAAAAACTTCTCCCTGTAATTTAAATCCCCATTGTATCACAGGGACATTACCAAACTTGTGTTCTGTGTAACCAGGAAATCTACACATCTATATTCCCTCATATGTGACTGCAGGCATGTAAAAGCCAAAGGGTAGCAGCAGCAGCAGCAGTTGTAAGAGAAGATGCTACTTGCAAGGGCTGGATGTATCTGTGTCTAAACACGGCATTGTCAAAAATGACCGTGCTTGGCCAGTAACTATGAAACGCAGCCACTATATTTCCATACCTTCACTGTTGGAAAGGTCAACCAGTGGACATATCTGCTTGTGCTTGAGGAGCAGGCTCAAAACCTTGTCGTCTCCTTCAGTAGCAGCTAAATGCAGGACGGAGTTACCGTGTCGGTCCAGGAGGCTGACGTCTGCTCCAGCCGTAAGCAGGGCTTCTACCACAGCAGCCTGCTTTGTGACAACTGCCAAGTGCAAGGGGGTCTAGGAGAGGACAGAGAAGGCACGAGAAGCTGAGCAACAGCTACACCACTCCAGCAGACATCTCTTAAACCAATAAAAGCTGTTAGCTTGAGAAAATGCTGCAATTGTCAGCGGTCCAGGAGGCTGACGTCTGCTCCAGCCGTAAGCAGGGCTTCTACCACAGCAGCCTGCTTTGTGACAACTGCCAAGTGCAAGGGGGTCTAGGAGAGGACAGAGAAGGCACGAGAAGCTGAGCAACAGCTACACCACTCCAGCAGACATCTCTTAAACCAATAAAAGCTGTTAGCTTGAGAAAATGCTGCAATTGTCAGTCTTGCCAATAAAGAGCATGACATTTTTAACACATACAGTGTAATGTATGTGTTTAAATAGGAACCTGTCTCAATATGTGCTGGGAATCATATTCCCAACCCTGAAAAGATCTAAAAATTGATTTTATCTATCTACAAATTGTTACATTAACAGAGGACTATAGAAAAGCACCCAAGCCTGCACTCCCTCCCACCACTGGCTTAAGTAAGAGGTAGGAGTAGCTATAGAGGCCCTGGTAGCTACAGATTTATTTCTTTTACGGAGCTCAGCTTTGCTTCCCATTTCCATTAAATCGAGGACACACAGAATTAAATTCATAATTTCCTGCTTGCTTTCATCAGCCTCCACATTTCCAACGTCCTTTATAGGAACATAAATGTGAAATGTGGAAGAGAACAAAAAGTCACAATAAGCCCTCAGGGACTGTCAGTATAGAATGAAATCCTGCCCCTGCTGTGCACAGCCCTGAGGCGAGTGGGAAGGAAGAGCAGCAGCAACATGGTGCTGCCCTGTAACGTGCAGGAAGTTGGTCACCTGTGGAAGCAGCGAATGCTGCACATGACTGAAAAGGGATTCCTTTTTTAGGCAGGTTTCTACAGCTTTTACAAAAACACCTTCGAGTTACACTAGAAAAGAACTTGGGCTCTGTCACAGATTAAGTTGAACAGAGAATTGTGACAATTAACCATTTGTTCCCCACTGGGTAAGAAGCTGTGGGATGGCCTTTTGTGTTGCTTTGTTACAATGTAATCTCCCCCAAAACAAAAGGGAAATCTCGAAACTCATAGGATGGGCACAAATACCAGCTAGCCTACAAAAAGGTAGAATTTGTTTAACTTTCCTCATATCTATAGATAACTAATGACACACCAACTGTTTCATGACCCTGAGTTCAAAAGGGCAAGCAAGCCCCAAGTTGGCACTCTGCAATCCACACCAGTGGTTCCACAGTAGCATTGCCAGCTAATGAAGAAATACACTGAATAATTTAGTGTATTTGTTCTGGTCCACAATAAGCACACAGACATTTCTGTTGGCATAAAGGGAGCTATGAATTAATTAAAACAATGAAAATGGGCTCCAGCTCCTCCAGCACTTTACATTAGGTCATCGTGCTCTCCTGTCCCAGAACATCTAAATTTGATGGTGCTACGGCCTGACCTGGGCTTATTCTGAAGAGTAAAGGAAATATAAGACAGACAGTAAGTTCAAAAAGTTCTTCTTTGCTGGGTGAATGATCAGCATCACTGGTCCTACCACAAGCGCCTACCTGATAGAGGTCGTTCCTCATGTTGATAACGTCATGGCAATCCAAATCTGGCACCACTTCTAAGAGGTTTTTCACCAGCTCAGTATGAAAGTGGATAATGGCTAAATGCAGAACACTGAAAGCAAAACAGAAGAGCAGATTAATAAATTCACTTATTATTGTACAAATGGTAAGCCTTTGCTGTACTGAATTCTGATAGACACATCTGACCATTAGAGGTACCATTTCAGTACTAAATATCAGCATCTAAACTGAATCTTAACATAAAGAAAAGTAAGCAGATAGCTTTGTTTAACCCTTCAATCAAAACAACAGAAGCAGAGTGGATTATGCTGGTCCTGAGCACAACTAACTACTGCTCTAATAAATAATAAAAACTTCAAGCCACAAAGTAATTGTTTTAGAACTTGCCTGAATCCCTGGATTCTTTGTTGTTTTGGTTTTTCGTTTTTTCATTTCTTATGCAGCACATGAACATTTCTTACTGTCAAGCCCTTCCTTCAGAATTTCCACAGGCCTTTCTGCAACCAAAGCAGATTTTCCCTCGGGGTTTCCCCAGCTCTGTGGGGTTTTCTTTTCTTCATTTTCAAACAGAAAATGACTAAGGGCTCAGGCTTGGTGTCTAAGAGCCACAGGATTTGTGGCAGGAGCCAGAGATCTCAATGCCAAAGGAGAGAACTGTTTCTGGACACAAGTGGCTCTGTAGCAAGGTGCTTCAGTGGCCTTTCACATGTTCTCTAGAGCCGGTTCCTTCGGCACTAGCAACCTGCACCTGCAGAACAACCCCCACCACCCCCCTCCAGAAGGCCTTAATCCGTCATCACCCATCCAGGCTTCATTTCAGATTCATCCCCTTGGTTTGGAAAGCAACCTTCCAAGCTCTCTCATAACTGATGCTAATTTCTGTACTTTCTAGCATATACTGCTGCTGCCACCCAGCCTCAGCATGGGACAAACGGTGCATTTATTAAGGATCCTGCTCCAGAAATGTCTGAATATACTTAGCTCTCAGCCTGCATCAGAAAAAGAAAAGTTCCTTGCTATTTGCGGCATAGATTCAGTCATCTCGAAATTGAGATTGAGAGCACTCAAAACCAGAAGCTGTACTAAAAGAAAAGAAAAAAGGAGGAAAAAAACTTTTCTAAACAAAACTCATGTTTGAAGGGCCCTTTTTAGGGTTGCAACGCTGCGACAGGCAGGACCATAGTGCTTTTTCTCCTTCAGATATTCAATGCAGTTCAAACAGTCCTACGACCGCCAAAAGCATCTCTTCCACTGCTCTCTGGAAGATGCTTCTCTTTCTACTCTATCATCCTGATATTTTATTTCCAATCCCCACCTTGAGAATAAGCTTTGTCTTCTATTAGCTCTACTTCTGTTTTCTATGGCAAATATTTTAATTTTACGTAGTCACTACATGTGATGCTGTAAAGATCTGTGTTGACTAGACCATGACAGGGCAATGAACCCACTTCTTAGGCAGCTCAGCCCTCCCTGAGGCAGGTGCTGTCACCCCCCAGGTTTCGGGACAATTGCGCTGCCTACTGCTCTGACAGGAAGATTTCTTTAATGGCTTAGGCAAAAAATTTATAGTTTTTGCCATATAATTTTAATGATTAAAGTGAAAATTAGGGGAATCAGTTTAAGATTCTTAGCTTGTGTATTTGTTTATTTTTATTAAATAGTTCCCGCAAGACACTTGGCAGACGGTCACCAAGACTCTATTTTGTTAAATAGTGGTAAAGCGATTTATATGGATTACCTGCTCAAAGACCAAAATCCATACTAGAGATTTACAGGAGGGAGCTGAAGCCTCACATGCCCATTGATCCAGAAAAAAACTTATTTACCATGATCAGAAGTACTTTGACTTAGTTGAAGTGTCTTGAAAATCCAAATATGAGGAGCAACCTTTTGCTGTTGAGGTGCAGTCCTATTTGGTGGCACAACTTTCTTTTCCTTTAACCACAGAAGCTGCATTGTCCGAGGTACTGGCAGATTTTATTGCCAGCTCCTGCCTCATTCCTATCCCTGCTTTCTTCAAATCTCACATTGTGTTGTCAACTGGGAAGCAATGCAACTCAGGTAGCTGCCTCTGATTCTGTGCTACTTAGTAGATGCCATTTATCCGTGATCTGAGGCCAGCTTTCAGAGAAACTGAATCAAAAGCAGTAAATAGCCTCTCACGGAGTAACCAAACAGTGGGACATGTTTTGCTCACTTTTAATTTTCCATGCAGCTAGAGAGGGGAAGGCTTATATAGCTTCTACTGTATAAAACACAATGATTTTAAGAAAAACAAATCATTGTACAGAGCCTGTTCAAAGCCTGCCAGCTAAAAAGTGACAATGAGGAAATGTCACTTGCTTAATCAAGAATGGAAATTCAGCAGAGGTGGCTCTGAACACATGCAGGAATGATCTTTTACGTAACAACTATTAATTAGCTCCTCATTGTACCTCATTCTTTAAAGTTCTGCAGAATCTGCACTGCTGTAGAGAAGCAAAAGCAATTTCTACTCCAGCTCACATTATGAGAGGCCTGACAAGCAAATACCAGCAGCCACGTCGGATTCCCTGGCACAAACACCTAGACAAACTCTTGGAAGAGCCCAGAAGTAAAGACGTCAGCAAGACCAAATGCAGCCCTCTGAAGAGGGAGAAAAGCAGTACGAACCCCTAGCCATGCACTTGCAACTTACAGCTCGCTATAAAGACTTAAGGGCTTGCACAAAGGGCAAGACAGCCTCGTCCAGCACAGAGCTGAGGTTCCCCACCTCAGCTGGGCATATCGCAGTGCCAGCATGACACTTGACACTCAGCAAAGATTTCAGGTGAAAAAACAAGCAAACTCACAGCCTGCCTGACAAGCACTCATTTCTGACAGGTACTGCCACAATAAACACCTTACTAAGAATGCCACAAAGAGGTCTACTTTGTGCCGCTACCTCTCCAAACAGTACAAAAGGGAATGGTATTTATTTGATCAGTGCAATCCATGAGCAGCAACCCCAGCTGGCAGAAGAGGCTGACTACACTGGGCCGCCGTCAGAAATCTGACTTTGCCAGCAACAACTTACTTGTCTCCGTTATCATCCTGGACGGCGGTGAGATGGCGCTGAACAGCCAACAGCATCTTCACGTCTCTGGTCACCGCGTAATCGAAGAGAGCGTTGGCGTGGCGCTTGGCAAGCTGCAAGGCCTTCTCCAGGAACACACCGTCTGCTGCAACACAAAGTACTTCAGTACTGTGCCACGAGTCTGCAGTACTGTGCCACGAGTGGGCAGCCAACATCCGTTAAGTAACATTGGAAACGAGGGGACTGCAGGAGGCCGACCTGCTTTTTAGTTTCCGTTTTCCCTATACCATCAGCTTTTGCCAGGAGTTTGCACTACTATAGAAATAAGCAGCACGGAGCACTAGGTGTTATTTACTTATTAGCTTGCTAACTGCTGGGGCCCTGCGGCACAGTTTTGTGCCCTCTCTCAGATCTAACCCATGCAATCTCTCCTGCTTTACAACAGCAGCACAGAGAATCAGTTCCCCTGTTTAAAACATTTCAGTGTTCACATTGTTTAGCATCTCCTTTTGGGGTTTATAAAATGTACAACCACTGGCATTTCAAAAAGTGGAATTTATCATGGTGGGGAGGCAAAAGGGGAGGAAAGATTTGCATAATGCGCATGTGGAAAAGACTCACTCTAGCTGTTGTGCCAGTACATTTGTGGTTCTCTATCGGTGAAAAACTAGCGAAAATGAAACAGCTGAACTTTCAAACCGCAGACGTCACTCTGGCGAGCAGTGTCACTTGAAACCAGCCTGTATTTAAAGACTTTCATGTTTCTACAGAACCTTGTAAGAAATGATTAACAGCAAACAAGGCAAATGGGACCGCTGTTTAAAATACCTTTGGGGAAAGGATACCCAGGACTTCCTGCTACACAAGTCCGGGCATTTGGACTGGGTTAGAAGCATATCTGTGGTGAACGTTAATATATGATCTGCGTGAGCCTTCAGCCTGCTGAGGAAGCTTGTTCCTCTGTTCAGTGGAGGACCGTGATTCCCATACGTTTAAGCTGATACATTCAGATTTGCTATTTACCTCTTAACAGTAAACAACAGACTTCAATGGATGTTATATTCAGGATGCATATCCAGAGTAAGGGGCCCTTAAAGAATTCAACGTTTTCTCATTACAGACAATAACAAAGTCCAAATAACTGAAGGCTGAATCTCACAGCTTTCCTGTAGCAAACATGGAAAAGATCTACTTCAAAAGCCTACAAGATAGCAGCCTTTACACAGTAGCCATTTCATGGACCCTGTTCCTCTGCACTTCTTTTGTCTGGTTCTACAGCTTTAGCCAAGAGTGCTATCTATTTCTCAAATCATAAGAAGTTATAGGCAGGAGCTTTCCCAACTACAACCCTTCTACTGTGCAACTTGGCTTTCCCAAGGCACGGTTCGTAGCACTGCTATAGCAAGTGCCACACAGGGCTGCTAAGACTACATGACCTTCCCCTGACCCAAGGGGGAGGAACAGCACCTGAGCTCGCACAGCGCTCGGCGTACACAAACAAGCCAAAAATTCCTTGCCACTCAGTTCCTACCATGTTTGACACCGTGCTGAGTAGTCTGATTTTTTCCTTGTTTATTTATTTTATGGGAAGCACGGTTACTCAAACCCTTTAAAAACAAAATCGTCAACTCAAACAAACAAACAAAAAATAAACAATGGCCTCTAGGCATCCAGGAAGCACATGCAGTGCTTTTGGTGCACCTTACCCAGGAAAGCAGTGCTAGGTGTGATCCGCAGGAGGGTGCATCTCACCTACCCGTGTGGCAAGCAGAGGCTCCACTCCCCACAAGCCATGCAGGGGTGTAGCGTTATCTACACGTTCATGTATGTGGTGAGGGGAGAGGGGGCCCTACACTTGGGAGAACTGAATCACTTCTATTTCCACGGGAAGGAATTATCATACTTTGGAAACAAAGAGCAGACATTTATGGAGGTTTCACTCTTTCTGCACCAGCTTTGCTGCTATAGCAGTTTGGTATACTTTAAATACATGTATTTGTTCACTTACCCTGCAACCTGTAATCTTCAAATGCTTCATTTACTTCAGCTTTGAAGGATGAAGTTCCATCCTCCTCCCCATTATCGCCAGGGGTTCTGCAGTCATTCCTGTCTGCTGTTTCCATTCTCACCTCATGTTTCATGTCCCATTTGTCACTGGGTGTACCAGAGCTCTCCCCATCTTGTTCAGCTGTGCTTTCTGATAGTCCTTCAGACAGAAAACAATAGTTAGCTTTTAATAACATTGGTTTTTTTATGCAAGAAAGTTTTTTTATGCATTGGTATTTTATGCGAATGCTCAGCTAGCCATAACCAAGCCTTATAGATACTGAATCTATAATAAAATTTACCTTGGTGTTACAATACAAATATTGTATCGTATTGCCAATACAAAAATTTATCTTGGTGTTATTAAACACTCAGGATTCATTATATTCCAAGCGTCAATGCACAGGGACATACAGAGCAATGCAACTTGCTCTAAAGTGACAAAAAGTTTTTACAAGCCTGTTTTAAAGAAAAACTGAGCAACAGGCATACCTCTTTTGAAGGTACAACAATATAAAACTGAATATTTCCAGGAAATGTGGCAGAATTTGAGATTTATTTACCTTTGTCTTTTTGGCAGCAAAATCATCTCTAAGACTTTGAAAGTAAATACAGATTATCCAACAACTGGATGTGAAATGCTTTTCCTGCTTTTGGAAAACTGGAAAGCCCTTATTATTAACCTACTCTTTTACCTTGCCCCGTGTGTTTCTTCTCTGGGCCACTGTGTAGGACCAGACTCTGGGACCTTGTTCTGGTCCTTGAGCCCCTGCAATCAGCACACTCAAGTAAATGAAAGGGCTCTTTGTTGAAGCATGTGCTAAAACTGCAAATAGAACGTAGTGTTTTGGTGACTGTTTCTTGGAGGTTAGCAGTCAATGTTAAAAGGAACATGCACACAGCTTTTAAGCTGGACTTGGACAGAATTAAAGAGAAGCAGGGGAAGTTAGGCTACATGAATCACTGATTCTAGGAAGCCAGACTGGTTCTAGGAAAAAAAGCTGCTAGCCCTCCACAGCATGCTTAGCTAAACCTATACTACAAGTCAGCTCATAATGTAGAGGAAAATCAAAATGGTCAAATTTAATTCAACTAATGCAAGAATGGCATTTTACTGTTACCATGTTTCATTCCAGCATTGGACTTTGTTGCGCCAGGGTGGAAATGCATCCCTCCAAACGTAGAGTATCCATAGGAAGGATAACTGAATCCTAAAGATAACAGAAAGAAAAAAGATACAGAGTTAACAGAATTACACCATAAAGGAACAAAAACATCATCTGTAAGAACAGTGAACCTAAAGAGCCGAGTTTTATTTTCTATATACTTTTTTCTACATTGATACAGGAAAACATTGTCCAGAATTAGGGTGCATTCTCTATCACTTCCTCAAAACACAAAGAAATTCTAGATGCTTGGCTAGTGGCCTGCTCTATCCCAACAGCCATAAGACCTCACAAACGCAGTGCCACTAGCATGCTACATCTAAACCTCAGTGTGACATTTTGCAAGCTGCCTCTACGCTTTCAAATCAGTGTGCTTACGCTGGATTTGTATCCTGGTGTTAGGCAGTTGATGTACTCCTGATTATTGCTGATGTATGTAACAATTGGAAAATTGCTGCTCTGCCACATCCTCTAACACAAGGGCTGCCTGGCTGCTGTGGTTCAGGTGAACTTTGCTGACGTGCAGGTTGTTAACGCTTTGCTGCAAGATACCAAAGCAATGCTTTCCAATACCACATCTCAGATATGCTCTGGATGCAACTGATAGAACATGACAGAAAGTTTATTAAACAGCATCTCTTTAGGAAAAAAAAAAAGTTACTTCCATTAACAGAGTTGATTTACTAAATTCCACTTCTGGTCCAGGAAACAATTAAAATCATATTTAATTTCAAAGCACCAAGACAGTACTTGGCTGTCTCATGAGTTTCAGTCCTCTGAGGCTCTTGGGAGCAGCAAAGCTGAGGCATGACGCATTTCTGACTCAGACTCCCTCAGCTAGAAAGGTGTTATCTGTGACTTAGAGCTTCAAGGAACAAAAATCACAGAGAGCCTTACAGGAAGTAGGAAGGCAAAGAAGCTGATGAAACATTTAGAAAACTGGGAGCAAGCTGACTGAAAGGATTGAGAGTTACACTGGCATAAAGCTAGGACGGCCAAGTCTCATTTACCAACAAGACAAATTCCTCATATCATTTTGATAAAAAAAAATAAGGCCCAAAGAACAGAGCTCCTTCCCTCCTTCCTCTCAAAACAGTGCCTTACCAGAGCTAGGACCGCCGCCACCACCGCCATACATGCCACCGCCGCCCGCGCCGCCGCCTCCACCGTAGCCGTCCGAGAAGTTCGGCATGAGCTTCTGGCGTTTCCTCTGTACTTCTTCCTTATCTGGGTTTCAGGCAAGAAGGGATAGATGGATTAAAGAGTCACTTTTCCACTGGCTATGCACAGAAAGGGATGCAAATAGACTATATTATTAAAATGTACTAGCTTTAAAGGAAAAAGGTAGAGTGTAGGAAAGTTAATTTTCTTTTAGCTCCAAATATAAAAACAAGTTTGTATGTAATGGAACAGCAAAACACTGTCAGTCAGCTCTCCCAGACTGAGAGCCCCCTCAAGCCCACACAGCCTCTTCTGTCACATCAGGTGCCCTGTGCTCAGATAACAGCAATAGGCTGCAATGCAGTGAGGTGCACAGGCAGACCTGTCTTAGGAGCCTCAGAGTTCCCTTCAGAGGCACGGCACATGCTCAGAGCCCTCAAAATCAGTGGCCCCACAATTCTTAAATGTCTAAGTCAAGGCACAAAACAGCTGAGAGCGTCCTGAATTGCACACCTGCTCCAAAAAAATGCCTTTGGGGAATATAAGCACAGGTTCCTTTGCTAAGCAAATCTACTTCAAAAGTGGAGCCTTATCAGAGTGTCAGCAAACCACATGGCACTATGATCTCCAGCACCACAGATGCTGAAAAGCTGTGAAAACAGGGTCTGCTTGAAATGATTTACTTAAGTCATCAGAAAGGTGACTGGAAGACAGCATATTTTCAAGCAGGACATTATACTGTCAAACCATGCCAAGCAGTAGTTTAAAAAAAAAAAAAGAAAAAGAAAAAAGAAACAGACAAAATATTTTACAGTACAAGGAAAAAAATAATCCACAGCCACCCCCTGAAAAGCAAAATGCAAAGATTTAAAAGCAGTATCCAAATCCAAGTGGATGGGGAAAGTGAAAATGTCATGACAAGAAGGGCTATCAAAAAAGGGATATAAATGCTATGAGGTTAAAATCCAGCAGAACTCTTGAGAAGAGAACAAAATATCCTCCCTCCAATAAATGACCCACTAGCTTTCAACAGATGTATGATAAAGGAATTTCATGCACAGCCACATCAGTCAGTGCACCAAACCAGATAGCTGAATTACGTGGAAGAGTATACCAAGGAGTACAAGTGCATTATTTCCAGGCATACATGATCTGCACGAATGTATGCATGCGGGCACCAGTCATACTCACTCACTGATGAGGAGACAAAACTCTAGAGAACAATCTAGTCAGAGAAACAAATACAAAAAATCCACATACACATTTCTAAGTTCACAAGAACACTTGCAACAGGGGAAATATTCAGTCCCTAGAAGTTAATTTAATGATTAGGTTTTGTAGGGCTTTGAAAAATGCACCTAACAATAATAGGGTAAAACTAATTCCATATTAAGAGGCATAAAAGAAGTTAGCTTCAAATTAGGCATTTTTAATTCTGCAGATGGATACTTTTGCTTTTCAACTTAAGGAAGAGACTACTGAAATCACTATCAATGTGAAATCCTGTAGCAACTCCCTAAGTTCCTGGGAGTGCATCCTTTCTACTCTTTTATTATACTGAGTGCTTCTACCTCAGCACCCTCACGACTCCCCAGTTGTCTTCAACACATTGCGAGTCATATACATGTATTTTAGTGACTTTGGCAGGATGTTGATTATCAACATAACTCAAAATTAGGCATAACACACTTGCAACACCAGGGCTTAGCAGTTCAAGATGCCGACAGGTAAACTATAAGCACAGAGACTATTATACTTCATACAATGAAAAAGCAATTCTGACTTGGGCCTCAGGGCAGTTCCGTATCATTAACATTATTAGTATTTAAAGCCAAGATAGCTGCTGTCATTCATGTTAGTCAAACTCACTCAAAATGCAGATGACTTTAAAGGGTACTGATCTACTAGTTAAGCTTCTTTTCACCAACAGCACAGGAAGCAGGTCTGATGCCAACGCTTTTATTTCAGCTGAGGGACTAGCGTTTTGACATGTAAGAGGTTGAAAAAGCACTTTCGCTACACTCACAAAAAGTGTCTTGGGCTTATTTAATTTTAATTCTAAAATATCAGTGAAGGAGAGAGGTGGGACACTAAAAGGAGAGAACTGCTAAATATGCACTTTTTCTACCAACCACTCTCTGATTTAAGGTTTCGTCCAAAAGTATCAACAGCAAAATGTCCTCAGCTATTATTTTGCCAACGCCCGGAGGAAGAGAGTGCCATCTGCTGTATACACAGGCATGTTTGCTTGTAGGAAACCTTACAGAGCTACCAGTTCTTGTTTTATCTCTGCACAAAACGGAGGGGCAAACATCCTATCTTCTACAAATAACTATAAAAAAGCTCTCTCCTAGCATACCTATCTTATTATTCTTAGGAAGTAGTTTCTGTTTCAGTTCTACAACATAGGCTTAGTGAATTACCTTTGATTTCAGGGTAGTAGAGAAAAGGTTTTGGTTCACTTGTTTCTAGATCAGATTTCCGCCGCAGTTGTACAAACACAGATGCCGGCTTCGTGATGTTGACATCTCTGTACTTGGGCGTTTTGAACACAATAGCAAACTGTGAAAGAAACTATGATCAGCATGTATGCCATGGAGAGTGATTTTTGCAACATGACAACACTCCACGACTACATTTGTGTGTTTTACAGGAGCTGGCTCATTGCTGGTGACACAGAAATTATTTGCAAAAGGTTGTTACAACAATAAAATTCCACCTGGCTTTCAGCTGTATTTTTGAATTAAGAGTCCTAAAGCCTTTTGGAAACGTCAGAATTGCTGTTCAGTGCATCAGCACATCATCTGTATTTGCACTGCATTGTAACCTCCCTCATTTAGCATCAATTCCATGGCATTTTCAGCATCTTTGCAGAAACTCGAAGATTTTTTTTAATCCCAATTTACACTGGCAAATGTTAAAGCAAAGGACCTCTCTCCTGATTTCCCAGCACTGATTTTAGACCTCCATACTCATTTAACATACGTCCTTAATGAACAGCCAAGATTGAATCATTATTAGGAAGTAACAAACAAAAGACGGCGACTTTTGTCACCCTCAAGGTAAGTTTTGGTTTACAGAGGCTATCATCTAATTAGCTAATTCTATTATCATCTTACTTTACAGAGACAGAAGATCATCAACATATAACAGGTGCTCTGTCACTAACCTGTCTATGTACATCTGTAGGAGAGAAGTCTCCAAAGCCTTCCCACATGCCACCATTCTCATCTTCTTCATAGAAACGTATTTGAATGTCATCTGCAAAGAGCAAAAGAAACGATATTTTAGGGCGCACATTTGTATAGCCTTTGTGTAAGTTTATTTCAGATAAAAATCAAAGTGGTTACTTTTTAGCTGGGGTGAAAATGTGCTACATGAATAATACATGAATCATATTTATCCATCTCATGGAAACATTGCAAGAATCCCCATTTTGACATCAATATTAGATCAGCCTGATGCAAATGACTCTACTGAAGTTGCTCTCTATTTACTGAGCAGGAGAAGCAGAATTAGGTTAACTACCTCTTCCTATTCTACGGCTAGGAAACATTCCAGAAGAGCTTTATTTGGAGCAGACACACAGGGAGAGGAGAACTTGAAGCGTGAAATGTAGAAACCACCCCCTCTCCTCCAGCAGTTTCAGTTCAAAAAACAGTAGCAAAACCTGAAGTGCCACAGTTGGAAGTTCCGCTTGCAGCTGGCAGAGAGCCACCCCAGAGCTGTGGCTCAGAGCGAAACGAGGGCCTGAGCGAGCGGCACCTCACCCCCAGCAAAGCACAGGCCACAGTATAAACATGACATCTGGCTTCTATCTCTCTCAGCAAGCCTCCTCTCTTTCTCTCTCTTTGATATAATACATGTACATGTATATTTTTTAAGACAAGTTTGGAAAGATCCCACCAGCATATTCCTTCTCCAGCACTCCCAGTGGGAAATAAGAACTCAAAGCCTGTTCCCTCTCAAGATGTCTGAGGCTGGACAGGCTTTTGGAGCAGACAAACTGCTGCTTCCCCGATGCAGCAGCTGCGAGTTGCAGCATGGCAAAGGGCCAGTTCCAGGCCCGCTGTCCTGCATGCGCGAGTTCCTTCAGGCAGGAGGTTTCTGAGAGCAGTGAGGTCAGGGGAAACCCCATGCCGCCGAGGGGAAACCCCACCTCGGGCTTCCACTGAGCCAGACCTTTATTTATTTTACATACAGGAGCTATGGTTCATCTCGGCCCTCTTCAAAGCAGAGGGTATACACAGGACCTAAAATACTTTTTTTTTTTTTTCTTTTAAACTGTCAAGGCTTGCTCTCTTCCCTGTGATAGAAAACCACGTTAGAAAGAGAAGTAGAAAACGACAGCACATATTAACAGAAAATATAAGGCCAATTTTATCAACATGCACAGGGGCTCTCTCTATCACCCAGTCTATACCAGAAGATTTCAGCTATCACCTATAACTTAAAAAAGGCAAAGGATTCACCTTACTCCTGTTTGTTTCTTTTTATTCAGTCCCAATACTGTGAATAGCCACATTAGCCAGCATTTTCCCATCTGAAAACAAGGCATCCAAATCCACACCTGGAGTCCAACCCTGCAGCATCTGTAGCTGTGAGCAGAGATTACTCTGGTGGGCCTTGGGCAAGTAACAGGTTACCCTGAATAATCTCTACTACTAGCACATATATAAAAATGAAGTTAATGGCTGCAGTACTGAGTACATATTTCCAAACAGAGACTAATAAAGGAACTCAATAACAAGTCAGAAATTTTATAATAATTAAGCACAGGTGCTAGGTAGTAGGGTCAGAAATTACACAGGACCCACCACTTCCAAAATCAGATTATGTGCAAGGGTAGAAACGTTAGAGAAATTTAGGCAAAGATGACCATGTTTTCTCCATAAGGAGGCACAAGCTGTATTTATTTTGGAGACTGTTTTTTTCAACCTCGGGAGTGCTAGCCTGCCTTTCAGAAGGGCTGAGTGCTCACTGATCCTGCAGCTATCAGAGCAGGAAGTTACTAAAGCAGCACAGCAGGCTTCTTGTGACCAAGAACCCTGGTGTGCCTTACAATGTCAGCAAAACTAGGCAGCTTTGAAAGCCAGGCTGGGACTCTTACCTTTCTGAACCTTGTCACAGAGAAGGTAAATCTCTTCCCCACCTGTTACGCACCCCGCCGTTCTGTCCATTCTTACAATTTTTAAGTTGGAAGCATTGGGAGCTTCTGTTGAGAGGAGAAGATAAAAGAAGCTTACCTTCATTAAAGTTTTAGATTACAAAACAAAACCAACAACAAACAGAAATGCAATAAAAAAATAAACCTTCAATACAACCTACTCAAATTTGACTATATCCTTTTTGATCTTTTTTTTTAAATAAAAAGGATGAACAAACAATTTATCTGAAGAGTATAATCTTGCATGCTCTAAGCTCTGAATCATGCACATGAGCTACAAAATAAGATCATGGATATTTCAGTGCCATTACTATGCAAGTAAAGTTATGCAAGTAAAGCAAAACAATGTGAATGGCATTCAGTACTCCACACTGATACTAACTTCATGACAAGAGGGCATTTCAATAGCACTGCATTATTTTTTCTTTCCTGTTGTCTTGTCAGTGTGACACTTGTTAGTCTGATGAGAGCTGTTCTCTATATCTCACTAGTTTGATGCAACGTGTCTTGCTTTGCTCTGTGGCTTATTTGAAAGTGATGTGGTAGTCCTCGGTCAACAATCTCAACCTGTGATTTGAGTTTTCTTACCCCCAAAATACAGGTCATATGTGCCATTAGTATAGTAGATAACATGGTTCTTCACTCAACGAACATGTAAAACGGCTGTGCTACAACGTGACATTCCCTTTACTAATAGCAAGCCACAGACTAAAGCAGCTTTAGAATAGCTGCATTTGGTATCTTTTCATCCAGATCTTGTTCTCAAAAAACTACAATACAGACATGACTGTATTTTCCATGACTGGAAAAAAAATGGTACTTCTGATTCACTACTGAAAGACTGTCGGGAACCTGGTAGAAAGGGTGCTGGCAAGACCAGAAATTATGATCCAAAGTACAATGGAAAACAATGTGAAAAGACTCCCTTCAAAAAGAGGTAGAAAGAAAGATTTAATAGAAGTATACAAATACTAACAAATCTGGAGAAAAATGGAGGCCTCTGGTTGTGCTAATCTCACAAAACAACAAGGACATGCTGATGGCCAAGAAATTTGAAAAAGGCCAAGTTTTTGAAATATTAAAGCTTTGCCATAGAAATCAAATAAAAACAAACAAACTTCTGAAAAAATTATCATTTCTTATGAGTAACGAAAAATCACAAAATCCTCATAACAATGGTGTCACTATTAAAAATGATAACAGAAAGTTGAAAAAAAGATTTTTTCTTTATGGTAAGCAGTAAAACTAGACGGGTTATGTTTAGCAATTTCTATGTGCCATGCTCCCAGGTAGAGAAACTTACCCCTTATTTAAAGATAATTTAAGTCAAACATACTTACTGCTGTCATATATTGCATCTGATATAACAGGATCAAGTTTCCGGGTGAAACTACCATTGCTGTCGGGGAGAAAGGCTGTAAACATAAGCCGCACCACACTGAGATCCATTTCTTTAGTCTGCTGTATTGCTGCCTGACGAATGATCTCTCTTTCTCGATCTGAAACCAATACATAGCACAGACAAATCGATATAAGGGGTAGAGGACACGCAAGAAAACAGTATTTTCCAAACACTACTATCAAAAGGCACCAATAACAAAAAAACCCACTTTCCTTTCTATTTTATCCATCAGCTTCTATCTTTAATGTATTTGAATGCCTACTCTCAGAGTGACTGAGAGTAGGCTGCTTCCTCTACACAGCTCTTGAGAGCAAGGTAGACTACGGCTTTTACGAAGATGTGCATGAAGCATAGCTAAATGGAATGGATACTTTTCTGTTGCATTTACTTAAGCATATCATGTCTCTCAGCAATAATGCCAAATGGCCCTGTTTATCAGTTTTAAACAGGATATGAACAGTGAGATCTAGGCACAGAGGTGGGCAAAGGCAGCTCTGGAAGGAAGTCACTTGGTTTTCATACGCACGCTGACAACAAAGACTCTTCCGTACTGCCTAAAGCACAGCAACAACACATGACCTCTTAAAACACACAACCATAAGTAGTTTTACCATCCAGTACCTTTTAATGGCTAAGAATCACATTTCCCAAAGCTAAAGCTGTTTTTAGTAAGAGAGACATCAAAATATTTTCCACGTACCAGTTAGCTGTCTGTCTCCACATCCTTCTGCCTGCAAATAGCCAAGTTCAGGATGTACCAAGAGTTCAGGGTTGTAGCCTTTTTTGCAAGCATCTATCATGCGTGCTTCCAGAGTTTCAAACACTTTCTTCTTTGTGACATGGAGTATTCCAAGGTTTGCAAACCTGTTGAATTTTGGTGGAGGGAAATATTTTCTCAATGCCTTATGCCAAACCTGCAGCAAGCAGACTCTGTAGCCTGAGGCAGCCTGACAACTGAGCTCAATCAAAGGGTCCCACAGACACAAGTGCTTCGCGAGGGCAAATCTTCCAGGGTGAAAATTTCAGCTATATTTACCAAACATGTAAAACCTGTGCCATCAGACAGCACACTGCCATCACAGGGGTGCACAGGATTATCCAAAAGCATTAGCAGGAATCTTTAGATTCACACTTGCACTGTGTAAGCAGCTTACAAAACATTTGAAAATGTGACCTTCCCACTTTGTTCGCTCAACCTTAGCAATGGCATTAATGCGACAAACTCTATCACTGTTACAAAACGCAATGGCTCAGGAAGGGCTACATCTGTCATGAAGTATTTGGAAAGCAAAGTAAGAAGCTAAAAAACAGTGCAACTTTTTCCTGAGGAAACGTTTTAAGCTAGGCTCTGGACATTCAGCAAGACACTCAAGGTATCTCTTTGAATGAGAGTGTTCATTGCACAAGATTTTACAAGATTTGTAAAAATCTCTTGGCACATTTAGAAACTAATTACATCTGGAAGTATGAAAACAAGACAATAACTCAGTTTTCATATAGGTCAACTGAGGATAGGAATGCCATTTCTAAACCTCTGATGAAAAAGCAAGACAGGTTAGGAAATGAGCCAAACTTTTCAAGATGAAAAGGAGCATTTCAAATAAAGCTATTTAAATTGCTGTGCTTGGTGAAGTTAGCACACTGGGCTTGGACATCAAAAGTTAAGAGTTTAAAAGAGTCTCTCTCTGCCACTACCTCCCATCCCCCCCCCAAATCTTCTCAGCTTTTTAAACTACTACTTCTTCTTCACCAACAAAGACATTCTTGAGATCACAGAAGTAAAGCTCACAGCCAGCATGAAACCTGATCTAAGACTGAAAATGTAGACAGGAGCCTGAGTTCCATTTACTGATATAAACAATTATTCTTTTAAATTAAACAAGAACAGACCAACTACTATTTCTCTATAAACGCATTGCTTTAAACTTAAAAAGTTTGACTCGTTTAATATTTTCATGTTTATACCCGTCTTGCATTAATTTCAAATTTACTAACCCTATTTTCTTAATATTCTTGGCTTCACTCTGTCTCTATTTGCAGATTTCAGAGGAAGTAAAATATTGATTAAAATAGTAGCAAAAGTTTGTCTTCACTGATTTTGCACTCCCTTCTTTCTGATCAAAACTACTTACATTTTAAAGTTTACAGTGCAAATTTGGATTGCAAAACAAGAGAATGAAACTCTCCAAATTCTCAGTGAAAATTATTCACTTAAATCTAAATTTAACATATTTAAGCCCTATTATGCCAAATTTTGGAGAGACTATCAGAAACACCATTTACTCTTTTATTTAATAAATGAACTCTCCCCCCTCTCCCCCACCTAAAAAAAAGAACAGATCAGAAAACAAAGACTATCACTTCATTTAGCTGCTGCTTTGCAGTAGCTCTGCATTGCTTCTAGCAGCTTATTCTTTATTCCTTAACCCAGTTTTACAAATGGATGGACATACTTACCCTACAACCATATCTTTAGGTCCTGCATTGACTGTGCATACTCCATCTTCACAAAATTTACCCACCAGGCTGTGAGCATGCAAGTGGACGTATTTCCCATTAGTAACTAACTGGACAATTACTTTTGCAGGTCCAACATAATTGCAGATCTGTAAAAAAATGCAAAGTTATTTTCCTTAAACGGATCAAATAATGACTCGAGCAAGGTATTTTCTGTCGTGTAAGTACAATCAAGCTCACAAGGAAAGATATATATCTCTTAACAAAATGCAAGCAACAGAGGATGTGTATGTGTACCAGATCACCACAGAGAAAAGACAGCGCTTTTTTTGTAACTGAACTTGATATACAAACAGTAGGAGTAGTGATAGATAATATCAATAAAGAAGATACAAAACAAAACTAAATGAAAGCAATCTTCTATTTGCCAAAACATGCATATCTCTATTTTATGTTTCATTTACTATACAGTATAGCATACTATACTGTACGATATACAGAGAAATTTTTCTCTGTAAATTTCAATTAGCACATTTAATTCACAATGACTGTACCTATGTGTACCTATGTGTGTATAAAAAACATGCATTCAGTTAATTCACAATGACTGTACCTATGTGTTGCAAAGTGCATAAAAAACATGCATTCACCACAAAAATCACTACATTATTTTGCTCAGTTGGAAAATACTTCTAAAAATATTTTTAACTTTTATGACCATTTCATTTTTTTTTTCATGTTCCCTTCACAGATTATTCTATTTAGAATAAAATCAATTCTATATTCTTATGCATTGATAGTTCAAAACACTACATCCACACATCAAGTCCAATAAATATTTCTTTCAAGTACACATGAGGATATATGCTAAGCAGCCATGTAAAATTTTGCAGGATAGGAAGTAGGATAAATTAGATGCCTTGATATAACCAGCTCCAGAGGTTAAAAGATTTTATCCCATTCTAGTTTCACCATATATTTGTTAAAAGACTTCTAAATCCTGATGTCTTAAAAACATGAAAGTTTAAAATGATGAATAACATACCATTTTTGTAAGTTATGTACTTTACATATATTATTTAGAACCTTATTTGCTTTCCTAGCAAGTAAGATTCATCAACTCAGTTATTGGTTATGCATCCTTTTCAAATTATGCTGAATGCAAAATAACCCACTTGAAAACAAGCAAACATAACCTTCCCTTCCAATTCACTTAATTAACCTTTTTAACAATATTGTTTTTTTTCTTCCCTCCTCCTCTAATTTTGCTTCTCATTTGCCATGGGCAAAGTTCTTTGTATTTCAGCAACATATAGATCTAATCAAGCAAGGTATTAAAGCACAACGATAAACATCAAAGTGATGAATAGGTGATGAACCGAATACTTAAGGTTATATGGTTGATAAGATGCTGATAACCAGAGACTGCCATGATTTTACCACATTATTAAGTTCTGCTAAGTTTCCTTCACGCCATTTAAACCCTCCCTTGACTCTATCTCATCAAACTTGGAGACTCTGCAGACATATATACCACATACCCTCCTTGTCTTTCCACTTGGGGCTAAAAGTCTTAAATACAGAAAAACTGTTTGGGGAGAAACAGGTGTGCCAAAGTTATCTCATTGCTCAGTGCCTGCTCACTCACTGTACTATCTTAAGGGGCATCTTACAAGTAGTGATTTCCAAAACACACCATGCCTTGTACCCATGTTTTGTCCTGTCCCCAAACTGGATTAGGTTCCCAAACTTCCCACTTGGATTAGAGAGGCAAAACAGAGACACTGAAAAATCCCTCGTTTTTTTCACCATTCATCTGCAGTGAGAAAATGCAAGGATCCCTGTGCAACTTTCACAAAGCAATCTGAAAATTATTATGTTTGGTGTTAAGGATCACCTCCACTACTATAATTAACTTCCCAAAGGTGTTTTGTTGATTCACTAAACAAACCTTTCCCTGCTATGAAGTTCCCAGTACATCTACATTAATGCTCATATCTCATCTCTAAGGCAATCGGCAGTAGTCGACATAGATTCACCAAGAGGAAATTGTGTTTAACCAAGCTGATAGTCTTCTCTGAAGGGAAGGCAGGCTGGGTAGAGGAGGTGAGAGCAGTGGACATTATCTCGCTTGTCCTCAGCAAAGCTTTTGACACTGTCTCCCATAATGTCCCCTTAGACAAGCTCAGAAAGTGTGGGTAGACAGCAAGGTGGATTGAGAACGGGCTGAATGACAGAGCTCAGAGGGTTGTGATCAGTAGGCACAGAGTCTAGGTGAAAACCCGGGGCTAGGGGTGCCCTCAGGGGTTAGTATTTACTCCAATTCTGTTCATTTTATTGATCAATGAGCTGGATGAAGGGACAGAATGCATCTTCTGTGTTCAAACTGGGAGTAATGGTCGATACTCCAGAATGCTGTGCTGCCCTTCAGGAGGTCCTGGACAGGCTGGAGAGGTAGCAGGGAAGAAACTCATGCAGTTCAAAGGCAAGTGCAGGGTCCTGCCCTAGGGAAGAATAACCCCAGGCACCA